TCCCCTCACTCCCGTACAAGTCGTTGGTGGTCCCGGATATGACAGGTGTCCCGGTGTCATATCATATTTTTGGATCCCCCATCAGAAAAGGATCCGTATCACTTTTCTGGCCATCAGAAAATGATCCCCCTATAGTATTTTGATCCCCCTTAAGAGAAGTTATATTAACAAAACATATTTTCATATATTTAAGGTGATAGTGAAAATTTGATGATAGCTGTTATGTTAGCTGTGTAGTTAATTATACCTGACCAACCAGTCAAGTATATAAGAGGATTAAGGGTAGAGGGGTCAAACCTGAGTGAGCACCCCTGTGCACATGGCAGGTATACCGAGTGATCAATTAAAGTTGCCTGTGGATAAATTCCATTACAGATTGATTGAGGTCATCATTTTACATAAAAGCTGTGTTTAATATACATTTTCCACTTTAAAATTAATATATTCATATTTGCATGAATAATAAAACTTGTAAATAAATTGCTTAACAGTTATCTCATTAAAAAAAACAATGCATGCTATACATGTATGTGTGTTGGATCATTAGGGATTTAATTTTATGTAAAAAATGCCCTTGTTTTTATGAGAAAATAACTGATATTTGCCCAAACATGTTTGATTTAATAGAAATTTGAAATAACTAAAAATGTATACAATTAAAAGATATTCATATAATAAAATTATTAAAGAAACATGTATATTAGAATGAACATACAACTACTACCAACAACTATTTGGTATATTTGAATCTGACACATGAAAAAAAACACACACACTCACGTTATTTCTTTACCTTTTTCTGTTCAAGTTTCCAAAAACTTCAGAATTGGTAATGTTTATTTCACAATTAAATTATCAATTTGGGTTCTTTTTGTTTAGTTCTAAATATTTCCATCCATCAACTCATAATTTTTTTCGACCTACATGCAATTATTTTACAAAGTAACTGAGGCCTTTCTAATGTGGACATCTCTTTGATTGACACCTGTCTAATGTTGACATCTCTTTGATTGACACCTGTCTAATGTTGACATCTCTTTGATTGACACCTGTCTAATGTTGACATCTCCATGAGTGACTGACACCTATCTAATGTGGACATCTCTTTGACACCTGTCTAATGTGGACATCTCTTTGACACCTTTCTAATGTAGGTATATCTATAACTGACTGACCCTTGTCTAATGTTCACATCTTTTATATTGATCCCTCTTCATATCTCATCATACCCCACTAGATAATATTCTGATGGCTATCATGTATTGATCCTCCATTTATATCTCATCATACCCCACTAGATACTATTCTGATGGCTATCATATATTGATCCCCCGTTTATATCTCTCATCATATCCCACTAGATACTATTCTGATGGCTATCATATATTGATCCTCCGTTTATATATCTCATCATATCCCACTAGATACTATTCTGATGGCTATCATATCTTGATCCCCGTTTATATCTCATCATACCCCACTAGATACTATTCTGATGGCTATCATATATTGATCCCCGTTTATATATCTCATCATATCCCACTAGATACTATTCTGATGGCTATCATATATTGATCCCCGTTTATATATCTCATCATATCCCACTAGATACTATTCTGATGGCTATCATATATTGATCCTCCGTTTATATATCTCATCATATCCCACTAGATACTATTCTGATGGCTATCATATATTGATCCCCCTTTATATCTCATCATATCCCACTAGATACTATTCTGATGGCTATCATATATTGATCTCCGTTTATATATCTCATCATACCCCACTAGATACTATTCTGATGGCTATCATATATTGATCCCCCTTTATATCTCATCATACCCCACTAGATAATATTCTGATGGCTATCATGTATTGATCCTCCATTTATATCTCATCATACCCCACTAGATACCATTCTGATGGCTATCATGTATTGATCCTCCGTTTATATCTCATCATACCCCACTAGATAATATTCTGATGGCTATCATATATTGATCCCCCGTTTATATCTCATCATACCCCACTAGATACTATTCTGATGGCTATCATATATTGATCCCCCCTTTATATCTCATCATACTCCCCTATATCTCTCTGATTGTTATTATATCTGTAACAATGACCCTCCTCTCCCCCTACACCCTCACCCCTCTATTTGGTATCATTTTTTTTATCCCGTGCATGTATGTTGCATCGTCTTTCCTGTAAGTGACTTGATTGATAAAAATGGGTCTTAGTGTACATTATTGGTAAATGATTATTTCCTTTTTACCTCAGAAGTTCTATGATGGTTTCTTATATATAAATATATATTTACCTCAAAGTTTTATAAATATGTTAGAGTAAACTAATTATATATGCATCACTAAGTGTTAATTTCCCACTCTGCATACATGTTCAGAATTGTATAATGTTTGTAAACTTTGTATTTATAATTTTAACTAATTTTTTCCTTTTCAATTTAAAAATGCTACTTTCTTATTTTCAGTCTCTTTCTGTTTATAATTCTTTTACCCTGAAATCTCTCTTTCATCAAAATATATCCTTTTAGTCCAACTGTTAATTTTCGCTTTGCACATATATATGCAGAAGTCACGCCACTGTTTCTAGTTGCGTAAAGATAACGTCTGGGTCATCCAGTGTAATTGTTAGCTAATAATCATTAAGCGCACTATAAAGTAAGTAGCATGTATCATGTGCGTGCACCTGTTGCGTTGTGGTAAAATGGATTCATTCATTTCGATGTATTCTACTGTTAGTGAAGTCAAGTTATAACTGATGTCATTTGTTGTTTTAGGGTTTTTACTGAGTGTAATATAAAGTGACTTGACTGAGAATGGAGTTGGTGTTGTTTAACAGTCAGACCCATAAACCTACACGGTTTCAAAAATATATCTTGTATGAGTTGTAATTAAAAATGTAAACAATGATTTTATTTGTTGTATACAAAAATGTAAACATAATGACTTAATTTGTCATTTATGTGACAATCATTTAATTAGGTTATAGAAGCTGACGAGGAAAAGGGACCTTGGTTCATACTCCTTAATAATAAAGTGCAGGTGGAAACTGAAAGGGTGGAGTGGCCCTCGGTTTCTTTGCTCTATTTCCCTTATTAGCCCCCCCGCCTTCCGTTGAGGTCCGCTCCACTTGGCAGAAACCCATCATGTAAACAAAATTGATTCCCCTCCACCCAAGGATGCTTCAGACAAAGTCTGATAATAAATGATTTCCCTTCACATGAAAGTGCTGAAGACGAGATTTGGACAAAATACAATCATTCCTACTGGAGGAGCAGGATTTTAAAGAATTCATTCTTAATCAGCAGTTTGTCTCCATCCCTCTTGTACAAGGGTGCCTAGACCCATCATTTCTACAAAATCAATTTCCCATCATCAAAGAATGATTTAGACCAAATTTGGTAATAATCCATTTTTTTCCTTTAGAAAGAGTAGAATTTTATATTCCTAGCAAAAATTTCCTACATTTCCTCCATTAGGCCCCTTCCCTCCTGCCCTACGGCCATGAGACTCACTATTTCCGGAAAAGTGATTCCCTTTATCCAAGAATGCTTCAGACCACATATGAGCAAAATGCAATCGTTCCAATAGGAGATGTAGGATTTTCAATATTTGCTCTATTTCCCTATTCGGTCCTATCCCAAGTCTGCTCACTTTGCCCTTCAGACCATGTGAGCTAACAAATGAAAGGGTAAATTGGCCTGGACTCAGTCTAATTGATAATAAAGTATAGGCAGAAACTGACAGGGCAGATGGGAAACTGGGTTGGGACACCTGGATAATAAAGTAAACTTAGAAACTGACATGGTAGAGGGGCCTTCAGTTCAGATGTCTTGACAATAAAGTAAACTTAGAAGCTGACATGGTAGAGGGGCCTTCAGTTCAGACGTCTTGACAATAAAGTAAAATTAGAAACTGACAGGCTATAGGGGCCCTCAGTTGGGACACCTGGATAATAAAGCTTTAAACTGACAGGCTAGAGAGCCCTCAGTTGGGACATCTGAATGTTAAAATGAATACTATATACCTTCAGTTAGCGTGTACAATATTGGATAAACCAGTAACAATTGGTTGCAATGGTCTTTTGAAAACCTGTTATCCACAGTGTTTACTGTGGATGTGAATGGTGACCACATGGAATGATTAAAAAAAAACCCTTTTTTACAACAATTGCAAAAACAAGCTTTAAGATTATATAATCACTCTTGTTGGCCCAATTGGAAATGTGTGGGGGTCTTACTTTTGGGAGGAAACTGGAGTACCCAGGGAAATCCCATGTGGTCTGGCAGGTGACCCCATATCTTTTCACGTCCATTCCAGGAATCAAACCCCGACTGCCAGGTGAAAGGTGAGTATGTTACTACTGCCCAACCCTTTGGAGTGATTACTGTGATGCCACAATTTTGGCATAAATATACATTTTCATGATGTACACAATACAAAGAAAATGAGATCCGATGTCCAGTCTGGTAGATTCAGTAATATCGACTGTCTTCCTAAAGATGGATTCCAAGTGGAATACAGGAGGCTGGTTCAACTACACATGTCAACTGTAAATGACATATGTAGTAGCTAGGTAGAGATAGTATATAAGTCTTGTATTTTGAAAAGTAACTCTGTTCTGAGGATGGCATACCCAGTATGCCGAAACATGTCAACTATTAAACACTTTCAATTCTTCCAACAGATGTTGTCTGGTTCTCTGTATTTGCTATTTTCATGATGTGTTCAAACTATGTGAATTGTTTAATTTGTTAAACAGGAAAAGGAAGGTTTCAAATTATCACTAGACTGGAAACTATTGGTTTTATTGAAAGAAATATGTGTTTAAACTAATTGCCTACTCAAACTGACCAGAGGTTTACCTTAATATGAAAGACAAATTACAGTCCATGGATAAAGGGCAATATTTATAATCAATCAGACATTGTATAAAACTGAAATCAAAATAACACCTTGATATTATTTCTAATCACTTATTTAATTCCTTTTTATGCATCATCATCATCGTCCACTTCATTTTCATCATCTTCATCACTATCACTTTCGTCCTCATCTTCGTTGTCCTCATTCTTATCAACGTCATTATCATCTGCGAGACCAGCAAAAAAGTCATTTTTGTTTGAGGAGTTCAACTTTTTAAGTGTGTTTCCCTTCCCTGCCTTTTTCTTTGTGTTCACTGAAAGCTCCCTGAAATCACTTGTGTTCCAGAACTTTATTGTCTGATCATGGGAACAGCTGGCCAGTAGGTTACCATCGTGTGACAGACTAAGATTTTCCACCGGGAAATTGTCATGATCCCCTACCACACCAAGGAACCGGTTTGGTAAAATATTTACAGCTCTGAAAGAAAATCAATATAAATAATGATAGGCCTTTTGATTTTGGCAGTACATTTACAATCAAAATACTTGTAAGTTGTTTAACCACTTGATCTGTCATGTACACAGTCTATAGACAAAAATTTGTCTTTACTTACAATACCATGATTAAAGTCTGTATGGGGGATATTTCTTGTGACAGCTACAACACAGTCTGCAGACAAAAACTTGTCTTAACTTACAATACCATCATTAGAGTTTGTATGGGGGATATTTCTTGTGACAGCTACAACACAGTCTGCAGACAAAAACTTGTCTTAACTTACAATACCATCATTAGAGTTTGTATGGGGGATATTTCCTGTAACAGCTACAACACAGTCTACAGAGGGAGTGTCTTACCTTACAATATCAACCCTGAACCTGTACACAGGATGATCTTTGTGATAGCTACTATTAATCTACAGACCAAGTGTGTCTTACCTTACAATACCGTCACTCGAGCCTGTACACAGGATGTTGTCTGTAACAGCTACCATACAATCCACGGACAAAGGATGGCCAGGAAAACGGTCACTGATATTTCCCCATTCTCCCCAGTTGAAAATATTTAGAACACCTTCTCCTGATCCACATATGACTTTCCCTTTTTCCTACAATATGTAAATAGGTAAAGAGTAATAATAAGACATTGAAGAATTTTTTATTTTGGCACTATCTTCAAAAAAGTTGTTTAAACACTTGATCTGTTCTGTACAGACATACAATACCATCATCAGAATATGTACAGGGATATTGCCTGCGACAGCTACAACAAAGTCTATAGACAAAAAACTGTTTTAAATTACAAGATTCAATCACTGGAGCCTGTACAGAGGATACTGCCTTTGACAGCTACTACACAGTCTACAGACAAAAAGCTGTCTGGACATACAATACCATCACTGGATCTGTACCCAGGAAATTTCCTGTGACAGCTACAACACAGTCTACAGAAAATAGGCTGTCTGGACATGAAATACCATCACTGGAATTTGTACCCAGGATATTGCCTGCACAGCTACTACACAGTTTACAGACAATAGGCTGTCTGGACATGAAATACCATCACTGGAATTTGTACCCAGGATATTGCCTGCACAGCTACAACACTCTGCAGACAAATGCTTGTCTTAATATACAAACCCACCACTGGGGTCTGTACACAGTCTACAGACAAAAGGCTGGCCTAACTTACATTACCATCACTTGAGTCTGTACACACAGTCTACAGACAAAAGGCTGTCTTAATATACAAAACCACCACTGGGGTCTGTACATAGTCTACAGACAAAAGGCTGGCCTTACTTACATTACCATCACTGGAGTCTGTACACACAGTCTACAGACAAAAGGCTGTCTTAATATACAAAACCATCACTGGGGTCTGTACATAGTCTACAGACAAAAGGCTGTCTTAACATACAACACCACCACTGGGGTCTGTACATAGTCTACAGACAAAAGGCTGGCCTAACTTACATTACCATCACTTGAGTCTGTACACACAGTCTACAGACAAAAGGCTGTCTTAATATACAAAACCATCACTGGGGTCTGTACATAGTCTACAGACAAAAGGCTGTCTTAACATACAACACCACCACTGGAGTCTGTACATAGTCTGAAGACAAAAGGCTGGCCTTACTTACATTACCATCACTGGAGTCTGAACACACAGTCTACAGACAAAAGGCTGTCTTTACATACAAAACCACCACTGGGGTCTGTACACACAGTCTAGACAAAAGGCTGTCACAGTCTACAGACAAAAGGCTGTCTTAACATACAACTCCACCACTGGGGTCTGTACATAGTCTACAGACAAAAGGCTGGCCTAACTTACATTACCATCACTGGAGTCTGTACAAACAGTCTACAGACAAAAGGCTGGCCTAACTTACATTACCATCACTGGAGTCTGTACACACAGTCTACAGACAAAAGGCTGTCTTTACATACAAAACCACCACTGGGGTCTGTACACACAGTCTAAAGACAAAAGGCTGGCCTAACTTACACTACCATCACTGGAGTCTGTACATAGTCTACAGACAAAAGGCTGGCCTAACTTACATTACCATCACTGGAGTCTGTACACACAGTCTACACTGGAGTCTGTACACACAGTAACAAAAGGCTGGCCTAACAGGGGTCTGTACAGTCTACAGACAAAAGGCTGGCCTAACTTACACTACCATCACTGGAGTCTGTACACACAGTCTACAGACAAAAGGCTGGCCTAACTTACACTACCATCACTGGAGTCTGTACACACAGTCTACAGACAAAAGGCTGGCTTAACTTACACTACCATCACTGGGGTCTGTACACACAGTCTACAGACAAAAGGCTGGCCTAACTTACATTACCATCACTGGAGTCTGTACATAGTCTACAGACAAAAGGCTGGCCTTACTTACATTACATCACTGGAGTCTGTACACACAGTCTACAGACAAAAGGCTGGCCTAACTTACACTACCATCACTGGAGTCTGTACACACAGTCCACAGACAAAAGGCTGGCCTAACTTAAACTACCACCACTGGGGTCTGTACACACAGTCTAAAGACAAAAGGCTGGCCTAACTTAAACTACCACCACTGGGGTCTGTACACACAGTCTAAAGACAAAAGGCTGTCTTAACATACACTACCATCACTGGGGTCTGTACACACAGTCTAAAGACAAAAGGCTGTCTTAACATACACTACCATCACTGGGGTCTGTACACACAGTCTACAGACAAAAGGCTGGCCTAACTTACACTACCATCACTGGAGTCTGTACACACAGTCTACAGACAAAAGGCTGTCTTAACATACACAACCATCACTGGAGTCTGTACACACAGTCTAAAGACAAAAGGCTGGCCTAACTTGCATTACCATCACTGGAGTCTGTAAAAACAGTCTAAAGACAAATGGCTGTTTTAACATACACTACCATCACTGGGGTCTGTACACACAGTCTACAGACAAAAGGCTGTCTTAACATACACTACCATCACTGGAGTCTGTACACACAGACTAAAGACGAAAGGCTGTCTTAACATACACTACCATCACTGGAGTCTGTACACACAGTCTACAGACAAAAGGTTGTCTTAACATACACTACCATCACTGGAGTCTGTACACACAGTCTAAAGACAAAAGGCTGTCTTAACATACACTACCATCACTGGGGTCTGTACACACAGTCAAAAGACAAAAGGCTGTCTTAACATACACTACCATCACTGGGGTCTGTACACACAGTCTACAGACAAAAGGCTGGCTTAACTTACATTACCATCACTGGAGTCTGTACATAGTCTACAGACAAAAGGCTGGCCTTACTTACATTACCATCACTGGAGTCTGTACACACAGTCTACAGACAAAAGGCTGGCACTACCATCACTGGACTTACACACACACCATCACTGGGCTGTCTGTACACACACCATCACTGGGAAGACAAAAGGCTGTCTTAACATACAAAACCACCACTGGGGTCTGTACATAGTCTACAGACAAAAAGGCTGGCCTAACTTGCATTACCATCACTGGCGTCTGTACACACAGTCTACAGACAAAAGGCTGTCTTAATATACACTACCATCACAGGAGTCTGTACACACAGTCTACAGACAAAAGGCTGGCCTAACTTACACTACCATCACTGGAGTCTGTACACACAGTCTGAAGACAAAAGGCTGTCTTAACATACAAAACCACCACTGGAGTCTGTACATAGTCCACAGACAAAAGGCTGACCTAACTTAAACTACCACCACTGGGGTCTGTACACACAGTCTACAGACAAAAGGCTGTCTTAACTTACACTACCATCACTGGAGTCTGTACACACAGTCTGAAGACAAAAGGCTGTCTTAACATACAAAACCACCACTGGGGTCTGTACACACAGTCTACAGACAAAAAGGCTGGCCTAACTTAAACTACCACCACTGGGGTCTGTACACACAGTCTAAAGACAAAAGGCTGTCTTAACATACAAAACCACCACTTGGGTCTGTACATAGTCTACAGACAAAAGGCTGGCCTAACTTACATTACCATCACTGGAGTCTGTACATAGTCTACAGACAAAAGGCTGGCCTAACTTACACTACCATCACTGGAGTTTGTATCCGAATACTTCTGACCTGTGTTGGGTCATAATTAAACAAGTTTGGAAAAAATTTACATCCTCTGTGGAAATTTTGTTTTACCCATGTTACAATGATTCTAATTTTATCAGAATGCATATATCTGACAGATACCTATAAAAATTGTGATAAACATCTGATTCAGGAGTGAATATCATTCATTGTCAATACTTTTTTCGTTTCAGTTACAAGAGATTTTTTTTTATATTCTGTTAAACCATGTAACTCTGCTGTGATTATGTAAAACCATGTACCTGTGCTGTGATTCTGTAAAACCATGTACCTGTGCTGTGAGTCTGTAAAACCATGTACCTGTGCTGTGAGTCTGTTAAACAAAATACCTCTGCTGTGATTCTGTAAAACCATATACCTGTGCTGTGAGTCTGTAAAACCATGTAACTCTGCTGTGAGTCTGTAAAACCATGTACCTGTGCTGTGATTCTGTAAAACCATGTAACTCTGCTGTGATTCTGTAAAACCATGTATCTCTGCTGTGATTCTGTTAAACAAAATACCTCTGCTGTGATTCTGTAAAACCATGTACCTGTGCTGTGATTCTGTAAAACCATATAACTGTGGTGTGATTCTGTAAAACCATGTACCTGTGCTGTGATTCTGTAAAACCATGTATCTCTGCTGTGATTCTGTTAAACAAAATACCTCTGCTGTGATTCTGTAAAACCATGTACCTGTGCTGTGATTCTGTAAAACCATGTACCTCTGCTGTGATTCTGTAAAACCATGTACCTGTGCTGTGATTCTGTAAAACCATGTACCTGTGCTGTGATTCTGTAAAACCATGTACCTGTGCTGTGATTCTGTAAAACCATATACCTGTGCTGTGATTCTGTAAAACCATATAATTGTGCTGTGATTCTGTAAAACCATATACCTGTGCTGTGATTCTGCAAAACCATATAATTGTGCTGTGATTCTGTAAAACCATATAATTGTGCTGTGATTCTGTAAAACCATATACCTCTGCTGTGATTCTGTTAACCCATGTATCTCTGTTGTTATTCTATTAAATCATGTTCATCCATATAATTAATTAAAACTGTACATATGTTCTACATTTTCCTGTGTTATGTACTGTACCTAAACATCTTACCTTCAGACGAGCTAAAGACAGAAGTTCTGAATCAAATAGTTCTGACTGCATATCCATTCTCTTCCTACGAATGTTGAACGCTGTAAGTGTTCCATCTCCACTGCAATTACAAATACTGACCCAGTGTAAAAACTGTACTTAATGTCAATAACACACAACAAAAATGAAAAAATCCCAAAAAGAAGTTAAAGTTATGCATCTGAAATATGTTCAGATGAAAAAAATCTAAGTCTAGTGACTTTTCCTTGTCATGGTTTCTTTAATTGATTCAAAACATTTGCGATAATATGAGTGTGCATCATAAACCAGACAAGAGGCCCATCAGACCTATATTGCGTACCTGGATATTTCACTTTATGACACAACAATGATATTGTTTAATATTTCCTCTGTTACTGTAGAGCAACTTCTTCATGGTTTCTAACTTTTGTGGCTACTTAAAGCTTTAACAATAATATAACTAATCTGTGCATTCATTAATTCTGAGACACTACTGAAAATTCAAAACTCATTGTCTTGATAGGGAGCTCCATATCATCCGAATGCAAATTTGGCCAAAACAGGTGAGCCTAACATAAGATGTTTGAAAAACATTGGTCAGAGTGATCTGTTCATATACCAGAACAACATTTGATACCTCATTAACAGAATCAAGCACTGTACACAGAAATCAAGGATGGAAAGCATCTAAATAGCCATTATCATCAAACATCATTTAATGTTAAATTATTGCAATTTCAACAAGAAATTGTCTTGATTTAGCACAGCTAAAATCAAATGTCTCCCCTTCTCGGAAATGAAGTAGATGTGGAGTGAGTGTGTGTGTGTGCAATTATGCAGCTGTGTTAAATATTAATTAAAAATCAGTCGTGCATATATACTGAAATTGTTTACGGTGTTGATGAGGAAGCTGATTGATGAATTATCAATGATTGCATAAATATAGAATATTAATGCATATTGGCAATATACAACACATATCTCAAAGAGGTGTTTATTTAGAAAATGCATACTGGTGACAGACATGTAGTCATGTATGGACTAGTTTACTTTGTTGAAATAAAACTTATGGTAAGGAAGAAGTTGATTTGTTATTTGTATCTTTGGTACAGAAACATTTGACATTTAGAAATCATTAATATTGTATGATTAAATTGTGAGCATATGCTGTACATAGCAATACACAAAGATACCTAAATTAATACAATGTTCAGGTTACCTTGCTTTTTACAAAGACGAAGCTACAACTATCCAGTGATCTCCAGAAATGCTAGGTTGTTGAAGGTTTTGGAAAACATTTGCAACTGGTGTTGTATTCACAATGCTGATTTTAAAGCTGTGTTGTCTGGTTGTCTTAAAGTCATGAAAATGTATATAACATGTCATCATCCTATCTGAATTATGAAGAGTTATGCTCCGAACAAGTTTCTTTTTACAAAAGGCAATAACTCTGTTATAAAAGGGCCATGGCCCCTAATTTTTGTACGCAACACACCGTCTTTCAGTCATGAACATGTATACCAAATATCATCACCCTATCTCAATTACGAAGAGAATTATGCTCTGGAGAAGTTTTTTTTACAAAGGGCAATAACTCTGTTCTAGAGAAGGGGAGACATTATTTGTGTAAATGAATGAGAATTTAATATTTATCAACATCTACTATTGCCACGTTCTTCCAACATACTAAACCTGGTAACAATGAGAATTTTATGTAGATTATCTATCACCACACTAGTCCCTCTAACATATTGAACCTGGTAGCAATGAGAATTTTATGTAGATCAACTATCACCACGCTTACTTCTAACATCCTGAACCTGGCAGCAATGAGAATTTTATGCAGATCAACAATCACCACATTAGTTCCTCTTACATACTTTACCTGGTAGCGATGAGAATTTTATGTTGATCGTCTATATCCATGTCGCTGATGAATTCCTCATTGTGTTTTACTTCCATTTCTGCCTTGTTAGTTCTCAAATCCCAGATCTATTCAAAATCAAGTCTATTATTTCATTGCTGATTACTTGTTGAAAGACTGTCCGTAATTCTTATACATTTAGATGTAGCAGTGAAAACAATGCACCTGCCCAATAAAAGTAAGCAGCATTAGGCAAAAATAACGATCAGTATATCACCAAGAATGCAAACAAATAAAAAAAAAACGTTGACAATAATTTTTTTAATGAAAGATGAAGGGTCAACTTGTCAATGAGGACTTAAAGAGCATGGTGTCCAGAAGAACTTAAGGGTCATTCTGTCAATGAGAAATTAAGTGTAATTTTGCCAATGAGAAATTAAGGATCATTTTGTGAATTGGTCCTTCTGTCAAAGAGAACTTAAGTTCCATTTTGTCAACGAGATATTAAGTGTCATTTTGTCAATGAGGAATTTACATTCTGTCCATGAGAGTTTAGGGGTCATTCTGTCAATGAGAAATTAAGTGTCATTTTGCCAATGAGAAATTAAGGATCATTTTGTGAATTAAGGGTCATTCTGTCAAAGAGAACTTAAGGGTCATTCTATCTATGAGAATTTAGTGATCATTTTGTCAATGATAAAGTAAGGATAATTCTGTCAATGAGAATTTAGGGGTCATTTTGTCAATAAAAACTAAGTGTCATTTTGTAAATAAGAAATTGAGGACCATTCTGTCCATGACAATTTAAGGGTCATTCTGTCAAAGAGAACTTAAGTGTCATTTTGTCAACCAGAAATTAAGAATCATTCTACCCTTTAAGGGTCATTCTGTCAAAGAGAACTTAGGTGTCATTTTGGCAATGAGAAGTTAGGCTGGGTAAAAACCATTTGATCATATAAATTTATAACTTATTCTCATATCTTTACCAGTCTTCCCCCATTTATTCATTTAAACATCAACAAAAAAATGTATGAGGAAGGGGAAAAACAACTGCAAATAATATTTCACATCCTATGAGATTTACCTTTAAATTTCCATCATCATCACCTGTTGCAAGGAAGTTTTCTCCTGTTACAAGTATGCTGTATATTGGTGACCTAAATGGTAAGAGGAAATTTTCACTAGTTATAAATATGCTGTTTGGTGACCTAAATGAAAAGAGGAAGTTTTCACTAGTTATAAGTATGCTGTTTGGTGACCTAAAACATTAAATGACGTCTTGTCCTGTTTCTAGACTTTTTCTAAGCATACTTGATTAAGATGATCTAAATTTCCCCTTGTTACTGGAGTATTGTATATACAGTATATAAGAAATGGAGAATTCTCTTTACTTGGATTAATAATTTGCTAGGCATTTTGAAATGAAATCTGGCAACCTGAAAGATCATAATACATTTGTATTCCTTTAAAACTGTAATGATTAAAACCATAAATTTCTTAAATAAACTTGCACTTGCTCCTAGAAGTATTACTATTACAATTATCATAATATATCCAGTGAAGAGAATAGGCTATGAACTCCGTAGATTGCACATGTAAAGAAAGTCTTACTCATGTGCCTTCTTCAACTTGCGCTTTAGTGTCCCAGTATTCATGTCAACAATGTGTATGGACTTGTCTTTAGATGCTGTGTACAGCTCTTCACCATTCGCAGAAAAACACAGAGCTCTGCAGGCTTTCTTATGGTTTTTAAATGTCATCAATGTGTTGTTTTCTCCTTTACTGGAGTAGGAGTGTCTGAATAAAGACAAAAGTATACGAAATAAAAATAGTTCTTACCTAACAATTATCTATGTCGTGTTGGGGTCAGGTTTTTTTTCAATCTGATTAAAATACAGACCATATACACTACCATATGGAGATCTGATGGTGGCCAGTAAGGGGTCATGTTCAGATGACCTTTGAACCAACTTATCACAACCTGACTGGCAATATCTTGCAAAAGCCTGTTTCTCTCCTGCTCTATCATCGTCGGCCATCTTTAAATTTTTAACGATAATCAATTGTCTAAAATCTCAACCATACCAAGATGACTGCATCTATTGTAAGCTGTCTCGCACAAAAAAGGGTGCTTTCCTGTTCCATCACTTCATCTTTTTCTGCCAACTTGCACATGCTACTAAACAGGCATATGAGAGATGAAAAAATCCTGTTGTAGTGTAAGCGCTGAGGTAAACTGAATGTGACTTGCTACCTGCCAACGTCAGATTTCCTTGATGTAGCATATCCTGATGATGAATATTTCGATTACATGGAGGACCCTGGACACATGATGTGCCATGAAATATGCTCTTTTCCAATCTGGCATGAACCAGAAGAGCTAAGAAATAGCAAATAGAACTTGTTCTTGAAATGGTAATTAGTAAATTTATGTGAATGACAGATGACAATAATATGCTGTTAGAGCCTAACAAATGCTGGTATCACAACACAATTGCTACATTCTTGCCCAAAAAGTTTTTTACAAATAAAATAATGAAAAAAATGTCTGTGTGTCCTGTTTCTGCCAAAGAAAAAATTATGGTTGGTGGTTAGGGTTTTGAAGTTTTTCCCATTTTCTTATCTTTCTAATAATGTTTGCTTGCTTTTGACACCAATTTTTGAAGTACCACACATAGGGTATTTCTTAAACCCATGTGTCAGATATATTTAAGTGTTGTATGTGTGTATTATAAGATGTTCATCATGAAGAATATTACAAACTGAGTCACAACATCTAGTTTGTAGCTTGACTTTTGAAAATGATAGTTTTTCCTTTACAATCAAGTGCTGAATTTCAACAAAATTCATCAAACAGTGTAGAGTTGTGCTTGAGGACAATGTGATTCCTATACACCCTAGACCCCCAACTGTTTGCAGAGTTATAAAAGGAAATACAAAACAAAAATAAACCAATTTTAATTGATATCTGTTAAATGTAGTGTTACCACATTCAGGTGTGATATATATATATATAAAATGCCTACTTGTCTGAAACATCCAATCTCACCTTTGGTTATTGTGAAAGTTCATGATGTTTTCTATTTTGATTGTCTCTTTAGTTATTGTATTTGTCTAACACCTCTCTTTATTTATAGTATTTATATATTGTCTCTCTTTATTTATTGTATTTGTCTAACATCTCCCTTTATTTATTGTATTTGTCTAACATCTCTCTTTATTTATTGTATTTGTCTAACATCTCCCTTTATTTATTGTATTTGTCTAACATCTCCCTTTATTTATTGTATTTGTCTAATGTCTGCTATGATTTTCCATCTACTCTGTGCTGACACTATGGTTATTCCTTTGCTGTAGAGTTATCTTTACACAGAAATTCAATGCACAAACTCATTAAATTTTGTGTCTCTTTTCCTTTTATCTAAATTTCTACATTTAGTATTTACTGAGAAGAAGAATCAGCCTCAAGATATGCATTCAATATAACTCAACAACATCACAAAAAGTGAGTGTAAATATTTTTTACATCAACTATCATAAGAATACAAAATTTAAGTTTCAGTAACCTCCCACCCAAACCTACAGTAACATTTCTACATGTCTTCTACTGTTTTTACATTCTACCCAAACCTACAGGAAACATTCCCCTCTACCATATATCTTCTGCTGTTATCACATTCTGCTCAAACCTACATTGAAACTTCTCCGTCTATGTCTCCTGCGGCAATCACATCTTTGATGGGATGGAAACATATGTCTACCACCATGCCATCAAATTTTATGTCCTTTGGTTTTTCTAGGTCTGCATCCTGCATTCATAAAAAGTATACATATATATATATAATTATAAATAAAACTCAATACAGGTTTTTAATCCTGTCTAATTTGATCAAATTGAAAATGTTTTGACCAAGCAATAACTGTTTCCAGTAATATTGATCAAACAATCATACCAAACCAAACAAATTTTTGTTGACGACATATTTAGTGATAATGTGTTACTCCATCATTGACTGATCTTCATTTGTTCTTTAAAAGTTGGATCTTTTCCCTTCTTTTCTTTTATTTGCCTGTCAGCATTTTGGTGTTCTGATAGACACAACAAGGGACCAAAGGAAACCTACATATGTGAATAATCTATCTAGTACTTCTCAAGAAATAGCCGTAACAAAGTCTCAGTGTCAAAATTCAAGATGGCTGTTTGCAATTTTGGTTCTTTGACTAGACTAAGAATTAAAAGGGTATAACTAGAGACAAAGAGCAATACATAAAATTTGTGACACATCATTCCAATATTTCCAATGAAATAGCTATAACAAACTTTCACTGTTAAAATCAAAGATGGCATACTGTCAGCCATTTTGCTTTTCCTTGCAAACTCAAAGGGCACAACTAGGGACCTAGGTAAACCTACATAAGATGTTTGATACAGCTCCATCCAGCACTTCCCTAGAAATAGTATTGAAAAGCTATTACTGTCAAAATATAGAATGGCTGCCTGTTGGCCCTTTTGGTTTTTCTGATCAATCCCAAGATCAAAAAGGTACAACTATGAACCAAGAGATCCCTGGACTACATATGAAATTTGAGAGTGATCCATCAAGTACTTCTCCTGAAAAATTTATTATTTTCGAAACCAAAGATGGCTGCCATAGTCACCAATGATTTTTTTATCAGTCCAAAAATGGGATAATGCACAATGCACAACAGAGGACCAATAAGTCCTTACATATATTTGAAAAACATTCATCAAGTACTTTTCCAGAAAAAGCGATAATAAACTATTACCGTCAAAATTCAAGATAGCCCCAAGATGACCATGTTGTTTTTCATACGGGTCCATAAATGGAACAATACACAACTAAGGAACTATATATGAAATAAGACAATGGTCCACCTTCAAGTACTTCTCAAGAAATAGTGATAATAAACTATTGCGTACGTCAAATCAATGATGGCTCCTTGTCAGCCATGTTGTTTATAAGATCAGTTTGAAAATGGGACCATGCACATCTAGGGTTCAAGGGAACCTATATATAAAATTTGAGAAAGATCCAAAAATATGATAACAGGTAATTGGTTATGGACTGGCGGATGGACAACAAATAACCGACCAGTCAGATGCAAGGCAATTTGAATAGCCTACCATCTAATGAATCTGATGTTTCAACTGTGACACATTCTCCAAATATACACTAAAACACCAATCATACCTTTAGAAGAAACAAAAATTTTTGAAAGATCTAATTTGTCCCTCAAGGAGACTACGGAACTCTGAGTGCTTATCAAATATTAAGTGGGAGGTAATCCTTGTCTACATATCCATCTCTACTTTTTAAGTAGGCTTACACCAACAAGGATATCTAATTCTAAAATTGTGCTTTTGTTAGGAGAGGGAGAATGTGAGCCAGAACTTAAAAACCAAAGAACCTCCAAGACAGAATCCAACGAAATGAGCTACATAAACAGAGAAGTTTGTCAAGTCAAGTAAAGTTACACTCCTTCCTCCTATTTCTATGGTATTCATTGATTTTACAAGAATGGCGAGAGAAACTATTTTGTCAATTAGATTTGAATTGCTCTTGTTGGCCAAGTCCGAATAATTAACTTTCTTTATATCGGTCTAGAGTTGATGAACATTTGGATTTGACTATTGTTGATCATGATAGTAACATACAAGTAATTTTAATGACTGGGAAAAAAGTGCAGTATGATTTAAAAAAAAAATAATGAAATCCATAAAACTGACAAACAGTCCCTGTGCATGAACTGGTGAAAGGTGAACAGTTCTGGGTTATTTCCTTTGATACACAACCAATTCATGTACCACTCTAACATGGAAGGAAATATACATGAGTCAAATCAAACAAGGACCTAAAAAGCTAATCAACTGTCCATCCAACCTTACAGCTCCTAGTTCACAGTTCCATCCTCTTCCAGAGTCTTTGCCATCAAACTCATCTTTGCAGACAGATGAGGTTTAGGGAAAAGTAAATCACCTTTCTACACATATCTTTTTATCAAGGGTATGCAATTGTCATGCGAACAAGCAATGGAAGGAACTGAAACTCTGAAATCTACATATGTATGGATGCTCCATGACTACTGACATTTTAATTTCGTGTACAAGTTCATTGTATTTATTGTACACTGTAATTCAAGGTTTTATATGATAACTTGTTTAAAATGTAAGTATAAGAAATCAAAATTGTTTACCCTTGTGAAAAAAAGTCGTTGAAAAAATCATTCAATTAGAAAATTGACAAAAGTTAATAAAGCTAAAGTTCATAAAGTAATTACTAAACATAACATTACAATAACACAATTCATTACACAGGTAATTATTTATTAGTGGAAGGGAAGTAATTCGTGTCAGTTTTCGTTAAATATTCCACATGACAAACGCAATTAAGTTCAACTTGATAACACTTTCATGTTGTACATCACACACACTAGTCAAAATTCTGATGATTCAAATATTATGATAACTTATCATGTTTGTGCGGTTTTCAGTTTATCATGAACTAGTTAAGTTAGGAATAAGATAATATATTGATATACTCGAATTTCCACCCAAACTGTCTTATTTTCAGCTAACGTACATGTAAGTCTACATCATTTAAGTACATTGTAAAACAAAAACGAGAAACTCGACAAGTTGAATGAGTGACACGCATTTAAATAAGGATATAAACAATCGCCATGTGGTAATTACGAAAAGCACATTACCTTCGTCGCCATTTTGAAATAGAGCTCTAAAAAATACAAATTGGGTCAATTATAACGAAAACGAACACAATCTATTCAAATCCAATTTACATTAGAATGAAAATTCTTATTTAACTTTAAAATTTGTGTGTGAAAATGATATATTTAATAAAAATGTCGAAAATATATAAGTTTAGTAACTAATATTACCGATATCTTTCCATCTTAATTTAAAATCAATTTACCGTGTCCAGGGACACTTCCGTTGGCATTTCGGCTTTCGTCGATCTACATAAACGCTTATAGCTGACTTACCATTACACGAGAAATAAATCGCTCGAAATGGGAGGCGATTCACTTGAAAAGAAGGAGAGTATTCATGGCACCATGTTGCGGATACACTTCGCAAAAATTGCCTACGTGACCGTATCGTTACCGGCATTCTCATTGCTCTTCTGTTTTCTCTCTGGAATCATTTTCCGATTTTATGACGTTAACGAAACAGTTTGCAAAGTAAGTAACCGGTACAAGTGATAACTTGTTTAATTAAAGGCCACATTAGAACAATACGTAATTGCAAATTCAAAGGAATGGGACAGAGGGCAGGATTTTTGATAACCAACAAAAGAATCGCGTTTGACATATTCCCATGAAGCTTCTAATAGTCTAACTTGGATATCTATTTACTATTTATACAGTGCCCTATTCCTAAGTCCGTGATGGTACCATTTACGTTAGCTAGTTTCTACACAATTATTGTATAATTGTTTATTGCAGATTATGGTCACAGTTACCATATTAATGTGTGGAATTCTATGTTTAGTTTATTAGATTATACATGAATTAATATAAGAAGCAGTGTATGTGGCCATGTTGGCAAAGTATAGTTTATAGACAGAAGTGTAAGAAACATGAAAGTATTTAATTCATGTTGATATATATTCTTTTAAATATACATTTAAGTATATTAGAAATCAATATCAGTAATATTAAATATTGATTGAAATTGATGACTTATATGACGGTTGACCTTTGGTGATCTAAATATTGACCTTTGGCATAACTTTATACAGGAGGAAGATGTAAAAATGCAAAGTATACAATGCTTATTCATATTGATGATGTATTTGTCCTTTTACCTTTGGTGACCAATATTTAAATGCCTTTTACATTGCAATAAGAAGTGCTAATGAAAAGAAAAGTATCCAATATTGATTTATAATAATAAAATATTTGGTCTATGACCTTTGGTGACCTACATATACATATATTAACCATTGGCATGACTTTACATGGTAAGAAGATTTCCAAATGAAAAGAGTACAATATTGATTGATTTAGGTGGCTTAAATGACGTGTTACGTATATATTGGCCTTGGTCTAGCTTTACATTGTAATGTGAACTGAAAATGAAAAGTATTCACTATTGATCGATATTGATGACTCATTTGATCTTTGACCTGAGGTAACCAATATCATGACCTTTGACCTAATTTTACATTGTAATAAGAAATGCAAATGAAAAGTTTACAATATTTACAATATTGATGACATTTGATCTCTGACCTTTGGTGACCTAAATGTTGATCTCTGGCTTATGTTTGTCACTTTAGAATGCAAGAAGTAAAGAAAATATTGACTATTTTGTTAAGAAGTTATTAACAGAAATAAAGAGTAGACAGAAAAGGAAGGATTAGTTGACTAAAAGTATTTGCATTTCTTTATAAGAAAAAAAAATTAGAATAGTTCATTAAGTTCATTAAGCAAAGTTTCATTTATCTACTTGTCTCACTTTATGCGTAGAGCAATGTTTACCTGATCAGGTGAGTGTTTAGGTCTCTCTTCTTGGTTGCATTTACTGACTTTTATCACCTGATGCAATATGCCCTGACTAAAACAAACTCATTCCCACTGGCCAACAAGTACAAGTAATCACCTTTTTAGCTTTCTTTCTCACAGAATAGGAGAGATAGGGGTTCCTGGGGCCAAGGTACTTTCCATGGCATCGGGCTTGGCATCGCCTGTGCCATACCTTGAAACATTAAAGTTTTTTAGCAACTTTTTTTTTTCGTGATACTGGATCGTCACTATCAAGAGGTAAATGAATATCATTGGATAAACTTTATTCACTTTACAACAATTGCAAATTGAATTTTCCTAACTTATATTAATCTTGTTTGCACGTGGATGTGGTTTATTAGGTGATCATGACCCCATATACCTTTTCACGTCTGTTCTGGGAGTTGAACCCAGGACCTCTAGGTGAAAGGTCAGTGTGCTACCGTTGCATGACCCAACCACTCTATAAAGTGGTGTCGATTATTAGATAGTTAAAGCATTAATATAAACTATCATTAATATACAAAGTCATACTTTTCATAATTCTGATGCACAAAAGGGGTAAATTTATGTTAAGACATTTTTGGAGTAAGTTTGTCTTATGTTACTTTAGTGTTATGGCAAGTTTTTCAAGCAGTTTGGACCTTAAATGTCAAACGGCAGTTGATTAATAGATAGTTTAAGCATTGATGTTACCATTACAATATATAAACGTGATGGATAGGGAGAGCAAGGAGGAAGTGTAATTATCTATGATTAACTTACAATCTGAGCTAATAAAAAATGTTCCAAATCACAGTCACACACATTTATTGTTACTTTCTTGAAATTCTACAGCTAATAATGTGAATGTTTCAACATTATGATATCAATTAGAAATCTGGTAAACAAATTTTACAAAGAACAGACGTCACAATGTCTAAATATTATTTTTTCAAAACTTGCTAACCACTCTTGAATTGATATGTCAGAAGGTCAAATCTTGATATTTAAGCACATTAAACTCTTTTTGATTATTACAGCTAAATCTTGGCATATTTTATAGACAATATTGATTAAATTTGATATAGGGATATATTTGGCAGAAGAAACAATTTAAAGACGTTTGAAGAAATGTTTGCATGTCCCCATTTTGTTTGTCACTGATGTTGCAAAGAATGTCTTGGTTCACTTGAGGATGTCAGTATTAAATAAGTGCAATCTTTAAAGTTGCATTGAAAATACATTTTGATTATCCTGAATTTGTAAGTGATTCTGTGAAATAAAACTATAAAACAATGGTTACTGTATGTTTATAATTACCAATCTCAAAAATCAAGATTTTTTGAAATGACATTACTAAATACAGTAACAGTAAACTGTTAGCACCACAGACATATCCCCAGAATGTACTAACATTCATTACAAGGTAAACAAAATTCACACTCTTATAAAACCACAATACTTAGCCATTTCTTTGTAGATATTTGGTTTAGAATACTTTATATGGTTTAGTTACTTCAGGGCTTTAAAGGATATACTTTGATATTTGGAAATAATTAATTTTCATATAACTCTGGTATCTTTTATAAACTTTAAATAACCTGATTTCTGGTAACATGACAGGCATAATAACTTGCAAGGTGATGTTTGAGTCGCCATGGTTACCAAATGGGTGAAATCTCAGAACTACGAAGATCATTTTTGTAAACCACAATGTTAGCATCACAAGATACAGCAGTAAAATTGTCTATTAGAGATAGTTGTTTTCTAATTTTTACAAAGCTGCAGGGATTTGGAATATTTCTGATAATGATTTGTATGACTATTTACCCTTGAGGTGACGTCCTCCACCTAGTCTGTAATGTTCTTCACTAGATATTCAATGACCAATTTAAATACATACATCTTTGAATCTTCTTATATTTTTATATTTGCTTTCAGGCGACAAATGTGATACCGTCTATCAGTGCGGTGACAGGAATTCTGCCTCAGGCATATGTATGGCGGATCTGTATAGGACTGCATGCTACACCACGTTTTGCAGTTGGCATCATGTACTACAATCACTACAAAGAACGACTACGTCTCATCAGCCCTCAGTATCATACATTATATCGCCAACTTCTGCGTATCAACTTCTGGTTGTATACCATAGAAAATTCCTGTCTGGTCGGAGTAACCTACATTTCCAACAAAGAGAACTATCGTATGTTAAACAAATTTTTATTAACTATCATTTGTGTACCCCAGTGTATTAGAATCCTTTAATTACAGAATCGATCACTGCATTTAGTTAATGTTTCTACTATGTATTTGGGTTATTTCACATTAATTGCTTTGAGAGGTGCAAGCTTAAGTGTTACAGACAAATCAGTTCATGGTTTTCCTGGTTACAGATGGGTCCTCTATTCATTTACAAATATCTATCACATTTCCCAAACAGATGATTTTGCCACATTCTGAGTTTTATCTTGGGTAAGTATTGGCAATGAGAAGTAAAAAAATACTTGATATTTAAGAACAATATAAGTACATTATAAAGTAGAACAATAATGGCAGTACTTTCATTAGAAACAAATAACACCATTATTGTCTATAATGACCAATGATTGACCTGTTGAAAGGGTAAACTATTTTTTTTTTGCCTATAGAATGTACACTCCTAGTTTGATATCTTGTTAGGTCCAATATACTGCTGTTATTTAACTACTGTTACTATTGTCTAGTAGTAGATTGATATATTGTTAGGTCCAGTTCTGTGTAACACATTGCTGTACCTGTGTAAGAGTTGATGTTTGTTATTTGTAGCCCTTCATGAAAAGATCTTCATAGTGTTCATGGTATCATGTAACTGCTACATGTTACTTAACACTATTATCTTCCGATGGTCAAGGGAGACAACTATGTCACGTACAGTGAGTATTATTTTCAATGTTTTGTATAAGTAAAGGAGTTTTATATTTGGTACTTTTTAGAACTTTTCTGAACATTTTAAAATTGCTTTCTTATGCTCCATATATCTGGAACTTTTTGCCACACAAAACTGCAAAAGATTAAAATTGTAAAATGCAAATATTTTTTGCTTTTTCTTGTAAATGCAGGAGTAATTCATCTATAGAAGTTATGTACCTTTATACATGTGAACAGTGTAAATGTAAGCTATGTCCATTCTGGAGGATTCGAAGTCTTTAAAAGAGGCCCTTCAAATTTCTGAGATGATAGAATAGCAAAATATGAAATAAGCAAAAATTGCAAAAGGTACATTTTGGGGATTTTCACAAACAATGCACAGAACAAAATTATCCTAAATACAGTAATATAGTTTGAAAAGAATATTTTTGTGAAAGTCTGGCAAATAAAGTGATAAATTATAACAAAATAACAATTGCTGTCTTATCGCCCATGATTTTTATTTATTCCATAATACCCTCAGAAATCTTCAATTCTGTTATTTACAGGAACAGCTCTCCTTTCAAATAAAGAAATGGATGTTTATTGCTATAATATCAGCCACCGGTGGACTCCTCATTTTCTTTGTCAGACACCGATTTTTCTGCATTCCATTTGGTAAGTTAGTCTACATGGACATCTAAACTCAGCAGATACACCATACATTCTTGTAGCTTTTCATATATATTTCTCTGGTGTACATGCATTTTGTACAACTTGTATGAGAAAAGAAATGACTGTAACAGAATTGTAGTGTATTCATCAACCTTGGGTAGGTGTAGTATTTAGTAAAAATCAATTTATTGAGATATATGGGGTGAAATATGCAAAAATCAACATTTTTTCCTATAACTTTTAACAGGGAATTCTTCCATGCTCATGTGTAACAAGTATGCTCTTCTAGTTAGACCATTGAAGACTGTGATGTCTTTATTTTTGCCATAAAAAATGAACATGCCAACGTTTTGAAAAAGCATGGATTTATTTTGCAAATTCCTGGCATCAAACAACAGTTGTAACATCATCTTTCATCATGTGATTAAAGACTCGATTGTAGTGTGTACAGTATGAAAAGTCAATCTTATTTTCATTGATTTGATACATTGGTGAGAATTAAGAGCTTGATATCTCAGATTATGGTAAATATTATCTAATAAATGAAATAATTAATCGTCAGTGTTTCACTAATAGCAATAACAGAAACTATGCTTAAAAACGTTTGTTCAACAAATCTTTTGAGACAGGTTCACTCTGAAGCTACCAAATGATAAACTATGTATGTTGTTATGCTCACTGAAAATCTTCAGGGGAACACCTTGTCGCCACTTTGCCTGTCTGTCATTCTTTCTGTCTGTCCTTTTGTGTTCAGAGCATAATTTTGACATAGTTAAGCAAGGATCAGGAAACTAAAAAAAAAAAAAAATACTGACTGAAAGTTTATCATCGTTTTCTTTTGAAATACTGGATGTATCTCCTTCAAATTTTATAATTTGTGTAGGTTCCCCAATGGTCTCTTGTTATGCCCTTTTGATTTTTGGACTGATCAAAAAACTAAAATGACTGACAGATAGATGTATTTTGACAATGACTGGATTTTTCTCAAATTTCATAAGTAGGTACCACTTGGTCCCTAGTTGTGATCTTTTCATTTTAGGAGAGATTAGAAAAACAAAATGGCTGACAAGCTGGCATCTTGGATTTTGACAAGGAAAATTTGTAACTTCTAATTCTTGTAAAGTACAAGATGGATCTTTCTCATATTTTATATATAGTTTATCCTTGGTCCCTAGTTGTGCCCTTTTGGTTTAATGACTGATGAGGAAAACAAAATGGCTGACAAGTGGCCATCTTAAACTTTGATAATGTTAGTTGAAGATTACGGTGTTATTACTATTTCACATTTTCAGTTTTGAAATTGTGTATCATTTAAAAGAAAAAACAGAGGAAAGAGTATATATTAAGGGAAAAGATCCTACTTTTAATGAACAAAAAGACCAAACAGTATTGGTAGGCACCAAGATTCTTGTTGTTTTTAATGCAAAAAATACTATACAAATCAGATGGATCACAATTTTTTTTTGAGAAGGTCAGAGAAACAGAAACAGGAGAAAAGAAACAGACAAAGAGAAACACACATGTAAAGTGACAGAGAGACAAACCAAGAGAGACATAAACAGCATTCAGCTGGGGAGAAAAAGACAAACTGAGACACACAGACAATCTGAAAAATATAGAGGGGTGGATGGAAAAAGGGAAACACACACAAAACACAGACTAACAGACAGATAGGTAGATGGACCAATATAGATAGATATACACACTTACTGATGGAGACAGAGAAACAGAACGTGAGACAGAGACTTACTGATGGAGACAGAGAAACAGAACATGAGACAGAGACTTACTGATGGAGACAGAGAGAGACATCCACGGACATATAGTGACAGGAAGAGGTCTACACCCAGAAAGACACAGACAGACACGGTCAAAGAGAGAAAGTCAGACTGAGAGATAGACAAACCTAAAGACACAGACTGATAGATACACTCTGTTAAATGGATAGACATGTACAGAGACATACACAAAGACACAAATCGACAGAAAGAGAGACAGACAGGCATTGGTGACCAATATGTTAGTGACCTTTGTTGGCTTTTATCATGTTGTTTTGAATCTCCATGTACAAGTTGACAAACGTCTTCTCTAAAAGCAAAAAATGTCTGGTCCATCACTTAAAATGCAATTAGTCTTGTGTTGTTTTGTTAATACTTCAGCAGTAATTTGCCATGTGTGTGTTAATTGGCCTCTTGTTTGAAATTATAATCCCATATTTGATTTGGTTGCAGCCTTCAGCTATTTTTCGGCTTGTGAGTATGTCATAGCATACACAAACATGGCTTACCATCTAAGTGGATATTTGGAGTTCAGAGACTACTATTTCATTGCTGCAAGGGTTAGTCCTACCACAGAAACCAAAAATGGTGATGTCAGCAGTGCAGTAGATCCATCGCCAAGAAAACCATTAGTACGAAGGAGAACGGGTGACAATCCACTATAATGACAATGACTTTTAGGGAAAACAATTTATAATTCTAGTTTTTCTTTAGGAGCACTTTTTTATATGGATCACCTGTTCATGTTAAAAACTTCAATCACATTTCATATCAGCTGTTCTGTGCAGTTGGTTTTGATGTATGTCTACAGCGTATGTTAAGCTAGGCATGCATGCTTTGTCACCTAAGCAATAATTTAAAATCTCTTTTTGAACATTTCATTGTATTTATGACTTTTTACCTATTCTTTGACATAAACACAGACTGTTTTGTGTTGCACTGTGTGAAGGGTGTATATAGTAAGATTGATGTATTAGAATAGACAATTAATCAATGTAACACTAAAGGACAGTGGGGATTAACAAGTAGCTGTATCATGGTAATTTTTCTTTTTTTACCTGATGTACACCTTGAAAACTATGCTATATCTTTAGGATGGATGTTGATACAGTGACAGGACCACCTCAGATCATTAGAACTATTATTGGTCACACTCAAAATTGTGACCTTTCCATATAGAATATCTTTTTGATCCCACTTCTCCAGGCTTAATATTAAAATGTGACGCTAGTACATGAGATTGGTAGTTATGGACTATAAATATAAGTCCTTATTGATACTTGGATTCTTCTCAAATTCGCCATCAGTGACTTGGTAGCAATCTTCAAAATATTCAATTATGGTCCAGAAATGGGACTGAAATTCATATAATAACAAATTGACAAAAAGTTTTAATATAATTTTAGACCAATCAAATGCAGAAGAGAAATGACAGCTACAAAACGGTTTATACCGTTTCTCAAATTATATTGTACATCTGCTTAAATTTTGGTGGTTATTATTCAAGGTTGAAGGTCAAAGGTTATACTTGACAAAAATTCAGGGATTATAGTCACTAACTTTCTCCATACCAGTTGCTCTATATTGTCAGATTTGAAGCTGGCCTGAAAAAGAAGATAAACTTACTAATCTATTTTTTAGTGATCTCCTTTAAAGTCCATTAATTGATGTTGTATACAAGTACCAGTGTGGTCCAAATTTCAAAATGGCTGCTAGTGCTTATTTTGGAAATTAATCACTGTCACTATATCACTATATTTCTTAAGTCTAATGGGTAAAAGTATCTTCATATAATTAATAGGATTCAGTTGTGCAAGCTACATTTTGAACATCATTTGAGTTTCAAGACAAAGTCAGCTGCACTATTTCTCAATACTTAGTGTGGTTTAATACTCCAGATGGCTGCCACAATCCATTCACCTGTCCTTCACGAATCATTTCTTAAAAACATTTTTTGATTGAATTTTGACTTACGATGGTCCAAAGTGTGCATGGATGAAGGTGATTAGAAATAAAAAAAACCTGCAGGCAGAGGGGTAGACTCCATAATGGTCTATAGGGCTGGACTCAACATAAGAAACAGAGGGTGATGTTTTAAAAATCCTTCTTCTGTGCAAATGAAAAAGTTTTGAACTTTGAATTGCAAGTTATTGGTATTAATAGGAGATCTGATAAACCTTAGTAATCTCAAGGGGTAAATCTGTTTCTGTATGATTTTGGGAGGCAGATCCCAAGACATGATTATGTAACTGTGAACTTCATGATTGCTGAACTATAAGCCTCTTGTCATATATTTGCCATGTTTTATTGAAATCATTTAATGCAAAGCTTTAATCATTTTGATATTATTGTAGAGATTATAGAAGTAAAATCTCAAATTTTAATTGCTGCAGTAAATGTCGGGAAGATATATTACAATGCAGGAATTGTGTGTAACTTTTACAAATTTATTTTTACAAACCATTTTATGTTGTTAACAAGTACATGTATGTCTGAAGTTAAAGCATAATTAAGTAATTATGAAATAGAGGGTGTGCATTTTATTCAATGTACTTAAGTATTCCTGGTAACATAATTTCAACTGTGAAAATAAAATTAATTTCACAATGGATTCATATGTCCCAATAGATGTAAACTGTTAGTGCACTGTCTATATAAAGTGACCACAAGTTAATTCAGAGTAAACCAAAGCATTAGTGGATAAACTATAAGGAAATAAATACAAAGGAAAGTACCATACAGTAGCAGTTATTATAAAGGGAGGTAACTACGCAGTAAAAGACAACACCATGGGGAGTTACTACACAGTAAAAGTAAATACAAATAGAGAAAACTGTGTAGTGGAAGTAAATATAAAGGGAGGTAACTACGCAGTAAAAGACAACACCATGGGGAGTTACTACACAGTAGAAGTAAATACAAATAGAGAAAACTGTGTAGTGGAAGTAAATATAAAGGGAGGTAACTACACAGTAAAAGACAACACAATGGGAAGTTACTACACAGTAGAAGTAAATACAAATAGAGAAAACTGTAGTGGAAGTAAATATAAAGGGAGGTAACTACACAGTAAAAGACAACACCATGGGGAGTTACTACACAGTAGAAGTAAATACAAATAGAGAAAACTGTAGTGGAAGTAAATATAAAGGGAGGTAACTACACAGTAAAAGACAACACAATGGGGAGTTACTACACAGTTAAAGTAAATACAATTAGAGAAAAATGTGTAGTAGAAGTAAATACAGATTTAAATAAATATAAACAGGAGTTACAAAACAATAGATGGAAGTATAAAGGGAACAACCCAATAATAAAAATGTCAATATTTGGAATATCACATACACTTTAAATCGTAAGGAAGTAAGATGTGAACAAAATAGATCAACATAAGATACCAGGGTACTTGTGAAGTTTGATAATTTTGCAGTGTCATTGTTCTGAACAGGTACTGTTGTGCAATGCATTGTGTGATGAAGGCCAAACTGAATGAACAAAGTGTGATATTAAATTTGTTCTTTGTTGTACTGTTGTTATTCAGATTTTTTTTTTAAACAAAAGCCTGAATAAAAAGGTTAAAGGTTAAGTAGCTTTCAAGTGTCATGAAAAAGAAATTGGGACATTGACGATAGTAAGCCACAGTTTTTTGTTTTAACTATTTCCATCTCAATCAGTCAAGGACAAACATACGAAAACCCAACAGCCTTCCCCTCCAATCTTTTTGTCTATTCCCCACCCTCCAGTAACAGTCAGGACAGAATGAGTAATTATATACACTCAATAGTTGGTAGCAATCGGGACAGAATGAGCAATTATAGAAACTCAATGGTTGGTAACATTCGTAACAGAATGAGTAATTATAAAAATTCAACGGTTGGTAAGAGTTCGGAAACAATGAGTAGTTATAGAAACACAACAGTTGGTAACAGTCTGAAGACAATGAATAATAAAGGTATCTCAACAGTTGGCAACAAACTGGACACAACGAGCAATTATACAAACTCAACAGTTGGTCACATTCGGAAAAGAATGAGTAATTATAGAAACTCAACATTTGGAAACAGCCAGAGTACATTGAATAATAACAGAAACTGAACACTTGGTAGCAATCTGAAGACAATGAATAATAACGGAAACTCCATAGTTGGTAACATTTGGAACAGAAAGAGTAATTATAAAAATTCAATGGTTGGTAAAAGTCAGGACTCAACGAGTAGTTATAGAAACACAACAGTTTGTAACAGTCTGAAGACAATTAATAACAAGCGATTCCAGAGGGATCTTGGCACCCACCAGTGTTTTATCTTGATATGCTCTTTGAAGGTTGGATCTTTTTCCTTCTTTTCTCTTCTCTGTTTTCACACTTAATGATAAGACATTTGAACATTCCTTTACAGAAATAAATAATAATCTTTATCTGCCTAATCCACAATGGCCACCTGGAAACCATTTTCTTTTCTCTGATCAGTCCCAAAAGCGAATGAACACAAGAAGAGACCAAAGGGAACATACCTATGAAATTTGAGAGATATCCATTCAGTACTTCTTCAGAAAATAGCAATAACAATCTTTACAAGGCAAAATCCAAGATAGCTGCCTATTGGCCATTTTGTTTTTCTGGTCAATCCCAAACTCAAATAGGCACAACCAGGGACCTACAGAACCATATACATGAAATTTGAAAAAAGATTTATACAGTTGTTCTCAAGAAATAGTAATCACAAACATTCGAAGTCAAAATCCAAGATGGCTGTCTGCCAGCCGTTTTGTTTTTCTGACCAGTCCAAAAGTTAGAAGGGCACAACTAGGGACCAAGGGAAACCTATATATGAAATCTGAGAAAGATCTATTCAGAAATTTTCAAGAAATAGCGATAACAAACTTGCAAAGTCAAAATTCAAGATGGCTGGCTGTCGGCCACTTTGATTTTCTGATCAGACCCAAAATCACACTGGCACAACTAAAGACCAAGGAGAACATACATATGAAATTTAAGAAAGATTCATCGAGCACTTCTAAAAAAACAAGTAATAACAAACTTTCAAAGTTAAAATACAAGATGGCCGCCTGTCAGCCATTTTGTTTTTTTGATCAGACCCAAAATCAAATGGGCGCAACCAGGGACCAAGTAGAACCTACATATAAAATTAATGAAAAAAACAAAGTTTTTCTCAAGAAATAACAAAAACTATCAGTCCCCAAAATTACAACTAGAGACCAGAGGGAACCTACACATGAAATTTGATTGAGAGATCCATCTCTTACTTTTCATGCGATAACAAACTTCACTGAAAAAATCCAAGATGGCTGCCTGTTGTCCATTTTTTTTTATCAGTCCCAAAATCAAACCTACATATGCAATTTGAGAAAAAGCCATACAGTACTTCTCAAAACAATAAGAAAAAATGTTTATGGACAAATGGACCACGAAACATGGATGCAAAGCAGTTGAACTAAAACTAAACTCAACAGCTAATAGAGTATAGTCTGGATATACATTTGTATTATAGTAACTTACGGCTAATATCTTTCATTGACTTGCCCAGATCCACTTTGCATTCATATCACCAGTTCAATGTTTAAATATCAACTTCTTAGAGAAAGATAACACACAAGACTTTACATTCTGATAGTCATTCTTGTTCATCTTTATTACACATTCAATCAAGCATTCTAAAGCATTTACATATCAGAGAATAGAAGAGTAATTACAAGGTGTGTGTGTACATCAGTGCTACATTCATTACATCAGCAACTAATTTCATTTTATCACTAACAATCTGTAAGATACAAATGTCTATCATCAGAACAGAAGCCAGCTGTTGTTAGATGTCGGGTACAGTACCTTTGTATTAACCTGTAACAAAAGTCATACATGTATTTGTGAGTTTCTACTTCATTTAGACATTGAATTGTCATCAGATTTTATTTACTACATGAATGTAAATAGAATAATGTGATGATTCATCTGTATATATCACAATTGCAATGTAAAATATCATCATGTCTACTTCATCAAGTTTGTCTGTGTATGTTTATCAACTGGTCCAGCTTCCTGACATGTAAAGCTAAAATGTATCTTATCTGAATGAATGTGCAAAGCATTGGTCATGTACCAGTACATCAATGTTAACATGGTGTCAAAATGATGACATATCTTTTAAGATTTAGAATGTATCGAACTCCTGCCAATACAGTCCATATACTGAGATAATTGCAGGCCATAATGGAAATACATATATGATTAATATGATTACATATTAAATGGAAACAGATTTAAGATTTTTTTTTAATTACACAATCCTTTCGCAATTAAAACAAAACTTTTCCATGTCATTTTTAAGTCATTTTATCTTAATTAATACATAAAATGGCTCCTTAGTGCTCAAAATAACATGTAAGTGTGCAATGTCAAATATTCTGCTTCATTTATATGAACATAGATATGAAATGTACACAGTGTATAAATTCCATTTTGTTAACTTCAGCTATATCATATATATGGATAAGTCATAGATATCACAAATAATATCACAAATGATGTCTCCATCACAAATACGAGGCACATGGGCCTTCAAACAGTCACCTGACTACTCTCAACCACATTTGAAATGAGCGAGCCATGATATCTCTTGTAAGTTACATCAAATCTGTCCCACTGCTGATCTTAACCAACATCTTCTTGTAAGTTACATCAAATCTGTCCCACTGCTGATCTTAACCAACATCTTATTGATTGAAGATCAAAATCTGCTCATATTTACTTGAGTTATCATATTAAGAAGAAAAAGTGAATACATGACGGACGAACAACGACTGCAAATGATCACCAAAAGGTGACCTAAAAATGTAGACTAAACTAGACCACATGTTACACTGAGACATAAACACAAGAGCCTATCAAGTCACAAACACACATCCCATTGAGTCACATACCTCACACTGATCTAGCCACATCACACTGAGACATGCTTTCTTCTAACACTTGTGAGTCGATTAATCTCACACTCAAGCTACAGTCCACAATGAGCAAACATTCATCACACAGTCACACACATACAAAATTGAGTGACAGTCATATACCCGAAGTGTGTACCATAACTGTAACACACACATCTTATGGTGTCACATAGTGGTACATATACAGAAAAAACAAGGTGTATCATCCTGTATGAAACTGTTGGAGGATATTACCTAAAACTTTACCATGATTCTGAGAGGAACCCACTGAAATTTGGAAATTTAAAGGCAAAAGTTGAAAAATTGTCTGAAGTCTGCCCACTAGAAAATCTTATTGCATTCAAAACTCTGCCTAACCATTCAGCTTACATGTGTACATCATAAGGGCAACTCTAGAGAACTGGTTTCACTTTAATTGACTGTGTCTTACTAATTTGATTCTTTAATCTTGCCAATAAATTTACAAATAATACCCTTCTAAAAATAGTAACATTCTTGTCTTTGTTAACAACTGGTTTAACCTATAGAGGTACGTGACTCAAATGACAAGTTTTGAAATGTATTTCTATCACAGCTGTGGATGTTTTCCTTCTTTGTGAATCATTACCATCCTTTTCTATCAAATTGTTTCGGAAATTTAAATGTACATAAGAAAAAGAAGACATGTGCGAACTTTCATTTAAGTGTTAGATGTGATGTTATCAAACATAAGATACAGATGAAAATGGAAGATAAATGAGAGGACATAGGATGAGGATTTTCAAGGGGTCAATACTGTTTGGAGAGTTGAAAGTTTTCAACTGGTGGAACCTGAGAAGATGTTTAACACAGGTGACGCTTTGACCTCAAATGCATCAGTGGAACTTGAGAAGAAACTTTATTTTTTTTTCAATATAGTACCCATATTGGATTTTTGGACTGACACAAAAAATAACAATACATCATCATCAACTCAGTATCATTTCAGGCAAGTTTCATCTGAATCCCATTGGTTTCTTTTCATAAAAGTGGCATGATGTCAGACAGAACTTTCCAACATATTCTGTCCAAAATCTAACTGAAAACATTTCACACAAGATTATATTTTTGAACCACTTGGGTCACATACTTCAATCACATGGTGGTTCCAACAAACAATAAAATGTATGTAAATGACTAGAGAGTTACAATCTTCTTACTAATGGGTTAATTTCATTTTGCTGTCTGTCTGATTTGGAGACTATTAGTAGTTTGGACAGAGCATGCAGACTAAAGTATACATGTATAGGAGTTATGTATAGGCTATCACTCACTAGAGAAATATACAGATCCCTAGCATACATGTTAAATAGGTTTATATGTCCATACCATGCACAGACATTGGAAAGCTTGTTATGGTATGGTATGTTATCATATCATCTCGATAAAAGGCCAGATCATCTTGAAAATTTGACAAAGAAATTTACACTTCATTAACTGTGGGAAAAGGTGTCTGTTTTTACCGAATCTTTTTTCTGAGAACATAATCTATAGCACCCATATCAGGTACCCACTGGTCAAATATAAGTACCCTGGGTCTTCTGGAACTTGACACCAGTGACCTTCAAAATTAATACATGTATGTAAAGGTCATTTGTATGAGGAAAATTTGTAGCACTCAATCCCAGGTACCAACTGGTCAAATATCAGTACCCTAGGACTTCTGAAAGTTGAGAAGATTCCTATAGTTTTTGACATGCTATCCTGGTAACCTTGAAAAAAGATCAATGCATTCAAATGAGGAAAATATACTGTATTTAAACCCAGGTACCTTTTGACCAAATATTGGTTTCCAGAAGATAAAAATTGATGGCCGCATGACTGACAACAGATCCTTTGCCACACAATACCGGTAAGCTTGCTAGCAGTTTGTGCCATATGTGGGCTAAAAATAATCATTAGAGTTAGAAAACCAATGAACTCGAATCAGTTTCAATTGATATTTCAAACGATCACTTTTAAATGAGCATTTTATTACAATACCTCTCACTTCATGGAATTTCAAGAATAGATAGGAATATCCCATAAATACATTAACATCAGACATTATTCCAATAGGCACACAAGGCAACATATAGTTTACATAGACATACACATCTCTCTAATTAGAGACAAACACAAAGGAGTCAAGAAATATCAGTCAAAATTTGTTTAAACAAAACCATTTTACTGGTTTCTGCTTCAGACATCAACAACAGCAATATTTCTCATAATGTTGTTATTGGTGTGTTTTAATTCTATCAATTTTTCAGAAAAGATCGCAAAAAGGCTTATATCATAAGCAAACAACCACTCAATGGTCCATCTATATAGCTGTAAATATATACATACAAACATATAGTTGATGGGGATCTATAGTCCATGGTCAATCTATATAGCTGTAAATATATACATACAAACATACAGCTGATGGGGATCTATAGTCCATGGTCAATCTATATAGCTGTAAATATATATATACAAACATGTAGCTGATGGGGATCTATAGTCCATGGTCAATCTATATAGCTGTAAATATATACATACAAACATATAGCTGATGGGGATCTATAGTCCATGGTCCATCTATATAACTGTACACATATATCTCATATACTATTTCTGTAACACTGGAATCTTCATTATAACCCATCATGGGAGCTTTCTGTGATTGAAGTCATGAATGCATCAAAGTCCTTCATGTCTGTCTCAAAGATCACCAGCTGACTTGAAATCATCTCGAGTGTATCTGTAACATTCTTCTCCTCATTAAAGGATTCCAACATCGGAGCACCTTGACAGTCACGATAAAACTTCCCCAAATCTGTGTTTGGATCAGCCCCAGCAAAGGGAGTCTTCTGTTTAAATAAAGGGAGAACATTTCATCATTTCTAATATATTCTGAAATTAGGTAATGATATACATTGTATATATGTGATATATATGATCAATGAAGTAATAACAACGATACGGACAAGTAAATAGTCAAATGTTCAAGGTCTGCCCCTTTATTGAGACACAAATATTACATAAATTACATCACATACATAGAACATAAAACAAATACTGTAAGTTCTATATATATGATGTAATTCTTGTAATATTTGTGTCTTGATAAAGGGGTAGATTGCCTCGAAAATTTGACAATTCACTTGTCTATACTGTCATTATTACTTAAATCTTAACTTTATTTTACAAATGCACAGTGAAGATATATTAAACAATAATTACTTAGAGCTTCCTTACATACCAACTCTACCATGACAAAGTCATCAGGCGCTGATGTCTGACTACTGCTGCTATCCTTTGACGCACTCCTACTCATCCCATCCATCTGGTCAGCAGTAGATGAACTCTTGAGTGTTGTGGATTTGCTGTCCCCGCTTAGATCTTCAATGTCAAACTTAGCCAGTGGTGCAGGTTGAAGAAGGTTAAGGAAGGGCACCTCATCAACATCACTCTTATAGTCCTTGGTCTTCGGTTGAGCAAATGCTCCCACCTTGTGGAAGTTTGAAAAACTTGCTTGTTTCTCTGGAGCACTAAATAAATAAAACCACAAGCTGATAATTTGGAATATTGAGATCTTGAAACATCTGAATCCACAACTTTAAAACAAAAACAGTCTTAATATATATCAAGAAACTTCATGTATGATCATTGTTTATTGTAACAATCCTTGTAAGCATACCTAGTAGGTTTGAACTCTTCCCCATTTTGACTATTTGGCAGTCTGCCATCTATCCTGATTGGTTGAGAGTATGTACGGGGCAAAGAGCCAGTCTGCATAGCATTGTAGAGGAAGCCATCAGTAGGACTTGCAGTAAAGGTGGTTGAGCAGAGGTCTTGTGTGTCATCATACGCCTGTCCACAATCATCCACAACACTCTCCCTAGAAATAAAGTACTTAATTATGTTCGGGTGTGGATACAATCTCCCTAAATATAAACAAAACATACTAATTACTTTTTCCATCCAGATCATTCACTTTGAATACACATTATCACTTGTCCATTCTCATTCACAACACTCTCCCTGAATATAAATATCACACATGATTACTTTTGTATTGTATCTGGGGCTGGCATTGCCAGAATACACCTGCCACATTTTATTTTGCTGAATTAGTCAGTGACAGGAAACAGCTGTATTTTAGCATGTGCATTAACTTGACAATCATTATCTGATTTACTTTAAATTTATTACATTCGAAAGTAGCAATAAGCAATTTTATTTGTTGTAATACTTAATTCTATTTCTAAAATGTCAGAAAATTTATTGCTGTTATATCTACATGCAGAGCAGATTCTGAATACTTCATCAGATTTATGAAGTAGCTTCATGAACACATCATTGACCAAAAATTGGTTGGCCAGCAGTTGTATTTAGTCTCTTATAAAACTAAACACTAGATTTAAACATTCTACATCTCAATTGACAACTCAAACTAACAGTAAACTGGTACAATTTAGAATCTGATATATTTGTATGAATGGCTAGAGTTAAAAAAAAAGGTATTTTGGTTTGGTTATGACAGCACTAATATTTATCAAGTGTGAGAGAAATTATCTATACATTAAATTTATACCTATACATATTTAGTTATCTGGCAGTATACACTTAACTACCTAAATTCACCGAAAATTTATCAAAATGATATATCTAAATTGATGTTACATATACAAAAACTTACCTTATATGTATCATTTATATATATATATCTAAATTTACCTTACATCATATATATAAATACACCATATATGCGTCTTGATAAAGGAGCAGATTGCCTCAAAATTTTGACAATTCACTTGTCTGTACAGTTGTTATTTCTTCTTTGACCATATATCTATTAATATGCACCCTATGAACATTTGCTTGTTAGGAACCAGTGCCAATTTTGAACCATACCATAGATATTAATAACTAAATTCCATATATATAGAAACAAGCGGCCCACAGGCCTCAACAGTCATATGACTACAAAAACATACAGCAGGGAGAAGGGTTCTTTTTTCTACTTTAATTAAAATCTTACAGAAAAGCTGTTTTCAGTTTTCTTTTATTATAAGGTAGCATTTGACCACATATTGCAAGAGCTTGAAGGGACTTTCTTAAAACTCAGCATCGTCTCCATTGATTGATTTCCATATAGCCCTGATGTGTACCCCATTGAACACTTGTGGGATGAAAAAAAAGAGTTTGTAATTGAGCAAACATCCCACATAATTATAAACAAGCCAACACACAATCACATAACACATTTAGTATTTCATTAAACCGTAAAGGTTGAAGTTGTGTTTCTTTTACCAAATTTAAACGTAGATTCAGCAATAATATGATTTTTTGTAAATAAACTTGTTCAATACAACATAAAAAATTGCTTGTTTAAAAAGATATTGATATCTTAAAACATGATATTTAAGTAAATTCAGAAAGTAATTCTGTCAAATTAATGCACATTAATTAATTATCAAATCAATTTAGATGTTTTCCATCACTGCTAAAATCAACCAAAAATACATCTGGCAAAGTGTATTCCGACAATAACAGCACCAGTTAGGTTGCTGGATAAATAACATAACTTAACTTTCCTGTATAATATATATACATGGATATATAGATATATACATATATACACCAAAATTTACCTTCTATATCCCATAGAACACGGTTTTGGGGTTGTTGGTCGTTTTGGACTATTGTCTTTCTTAAAATGATCATCTTTCACTTCAAAGCCAACTTCCTTGGAAGTCTTCTGTGGTGTAATCAACAACTTAGTTCTATAAGCAAGCTGTATAGATATGGTTCCCTGTGGTGTTGGGACAGTTCCTACTTTAGCAGTCTGGTACCCATCACCCAGCATAAAGAACTGCGGATCTCCTGCATAGATTCTATAACAAATCACATAATCATCTGAACAAACACCCTGTCGTCTGGAGAGCTTATATGCTGGTGTGACTCGAGAAACTGTGAACAAGGACTTGAGTGCAGTACCCATCCTGTTGTAGACCGTGTAGGAGATCTTAACGTTGTTGTCACAGTGGTCCGGGTCAAGACTTATGTACCACGTTTCCAGCACCATGGTTGCTCCTTCAGATGTCTTAAGTGATATCTCAACACACACATTTTGTCCGAGGATTGGCTGTTGGTTGGCCAAAGCTCGCTTAGCCTCAGAATGAACATCAGGTATGTCCTTTATGGCAAGATTGAACTGAAAATAGAACAAAATACACCATTTTTCCATTGAACTTATTGTTTGTGTCTTCATGTTTATGATTTCAGTAGCACTCCACTATTGCTGGGATATACCTGTATCATACGGGCACAAGTTAAACTTTGCTGTCTCCGGTAACATTACTAGACAAAAATTGTCTTTACACCTACAGCTGTGAGACCCATGATGCTAAATCCTATGTATTTTCATATGACTGATATCCTGTTACTATCTACTAAATTAATGGATCACATACCATACCATGTTATCTATATATATCAGAATAGGAACACCTTTAAAAATACATTTAGTTTGTGACTTTAAGTTTCACCAACTATTACTTTTAAAAGCCTGTATAAAAAGTGACAACACATGCATGTATAGTGACACTGAATTACAAATTATATTTGAACAGGTGGTCCAAAGCGATCTTGGCACCAACTGTGGTCTTGAGCATTATTACTTTTACCTTTTCTCTTCTTTCTATCCATTTATTTCCTACTGAACAATTATATATAGTTAAAAGACATGGAACCAACATATGAAACTTGGGAAAGATCCAGCAGGAATTGCCTTAACAAACTTTAAGTATAAAGTGATAACAAATTATTACTATCAACATCCAAGTGGCCATCCATTGGCCATAACGTTTTACGATCAGTCCAACAACAACCAAAAAACGACTGAAAACCACAGGAAACCTACATAAGAAATTTGAAAATGATCAACTCAGTAATACTCTACAAAGAGTTATAACAAGCATTGTTTACAGATGGACAGATAGATGAAGGGTGATTTGAATGGCCTACAACCTCGTGATGCAGGCCAAAAAGAAAACAGCTCTTCCCTCTTCTAAAAAAAAAAAAACAATGAGAAAAAGGAGAATAAAAGGAAGGACAATATTTCAGCACATTATATATCAATATAAAGATCTTGAAAACTGGTTATCCTCAAACAATTTACTTCTTACTCTTTTCAAATGTCATTTCACTCCTAAATTTCTAATTTGATTCCAGGTGTTTTAATTGCAGTTGAGGTCAACTTGTTTCACATCCAACCAAAACCTTCTGTTACCTCTAAAAAGACCAATTCTGAAATGGCATTCAGGCTGGGGTTGTGGTTTTTAAGTTTTTGTCTGAGGTTTCTCTATACCTAGAATAATTTCAGGTGCCAATAAATGTTACAGACATTTATCAGACCTGGTGATGGACAAATAAATTTGCACTTTGCAGCAAGTAATTTATCTCTATGACTAATACAATTGAGTAGTATATATACATCATTTTAGTCTTAATTGTTGGCTCATGTATGTGTTCATGTATTAGGTGAATTGCATGGCATTTTCAGACCAAAAATTTGTCTCTAAAACGATAATTTAATGTCAATATTTACATTTTCATTGACTATGCTCCTCTTTAAAGACAGAATGGACCTGTCAATAAAAGTAGTAGAAATGCATATCTGCCAACTTTTCAAAATTCTCATGGGGAGAAAAATGTGTGAACAACATTTTTGACTGGCCATGATACCTTGTGGGTCGTGACATTTATCAAAAAGAACAAGAGGTCAATGGGCCTTAATGGTCATCTGACTACAAAAACTTTCCGCAGAAAGAGGGGTTATTTCTTCTACTTTTAATGAAATCTTACCAAGAAGTTGCTTTCAATGATGCAGATGGTAGTTAGGGTGAGGAGTAGGTAACTGTACCAAGTGTTACATATTTTGACAGTAAAGTTAAATCTCAATCCAACTGTTGAAACATGAGAAGTTTGAAATAAATATTGCACAGGAAAACCATGATTGTGTAATCATGTTACAAGATGGCCACCCTAGCTGCCATATCAAAGTTTTGACAAGACTTAAACATAACAACGTGTTGGCAAACTTTCCTTAATGTCACCACCAATTTTTAGCTCAATGGCACCAGTAAAACTGGAAAAGAAGTTTAGAATATTTTTTTCAAGATGGTGGCCTCTTGGATTTCAGACATATTCGAAAAATAACAACACTTGGCCTCACTAACCTTTTAAGACATTAAAACTTGCTATTTCTAAGCAATTCTAGTATTTTCCTCCCTCCTCCGCATCGACTTAGAAAATTATTTGCGTTGCCTTTACCAGCTATACTAATAACAGCCTGGCACTGTCAATTTAACTTACCCAGTCAGTTCCAGAAGAAATTGGCTTTGACTTCGTTCTTATTTTCTCTCCGAGTCTTGACTGAACAATAACTTGTAGACTTTTGAAGATGAGAAACTTAGTAAATTTCTCCAAGTCTTTCTTATCTTGTGCATTAAGTCTACTCGACATTATAGTGTGTTATTTCTAATTATCCACCAGCCGTATTTCTATCACTAAATGAATTACGGAAAATCAGTCAATTTACCACAGATATTTTTTCCATTTTCTAGTTAAGTAGCTTGATTTCATTGTTAGCGACAAATATTAAAATGCCACTGTGAGCTTCGACAATTATTTCAACTAAGACATCGAAATAATATCATGCACAATGAAATAAATCCATTTCATAGGATAATTCTGTTTTCTTTATATCGTTGTCACAGCAATTAATGACCAGATGACGGTGAATCCATCTTCCTTCGTCTTCGCCATTTTTCATGTTTACAAATCTAACCGGTCAAGGCCGTTTAGGAAGGGTTAGACGATTTACAGGATCGGGCAGAATCGGGCAGGATCGGGCAGAATCGGACTAGATTAGTGCCGTTTTAATGATTTTTGTGATTTTTTTTTGCATTGATATCATCATATGTTACACACTGTGAAAGGTTTTTAAGGAAAAATGAAGACGTATTACATAAAACACTCATTTCTGATTTGGTCGCGCAAGACCGAAAACTTCTGTCATATATGACAGTAAGATGGACATTTGTTTTTCCTTTTTTATGTTGGGAGCATCATGTACGAAAAAGCCTGAAAAAAATTCTAATAAGCGAAGCATTTCTTTATGCATGTGCAGACATGCATACCAGTCAAGTATTGACCACCTTGCAAAAGATACCAATATTCCTGTAATCAAACCTGCAAATGTTCTAGAGGTAAGCTATCAATAGTTTCCTGTACTTTATCTATTAAATACACATAAATACAATAACCAATAATCAGAAACTATGTACATGTGTATATCATATATGTGTATATTAAGATAAAAAAAAAAGGTATTACCCTGCATCTTCACAGCAACATAGATTAAAATTCCATATAATAGCAAAAATATCAATAATGGAGATATACCCTGATGTAAAATATACAGACAGTGTGAAGCATCATGAATGTCTACCAAAAGCATAATTACCTATTAATGCTTTGTTTAGACATCAGTATAATACCACATTGTTAAAATTGAAAATTTTCTACACAGGACACCTTAAATGTTGGGGAAAACTTTACAGTAAATATTTAAATATATTAAATTAGTTTTTTAAACATGGATTCTTTTGTTTTGATAATCTGTGGAATCCTTATGTATGCCACATTTGTTCAAATGTACAATCTGTGCATTCTAACATACCATCAGCACATCATTTATGTTAGGCTAGTGTGAATCGGATGCGAGATAAATATGATTGTACATTAAGCTCTATTTGAATAATGTATGCTGAAGAGGACCCTAGGGCCATGAAATTCACAACTTTGGTAGGCACCTTAAGATGCTTCCAGTTACGAAGAATGTTTGATTCTACAATACCTGGGTGTTGAGAAGAAGACTTTTGAAATATGAGTCAATTTGACCCCACCCCTCAGGGCCCTCTGGGGTGGGAACTGTATAATTCACAATTTTGGTTCATCTTAGGCCAGGAAAGGTTTCTGCAAATGTGTTTGCAACCATGAGACTTTGTCTCAGACGGCCCATTAATTAATTGTCAAATTAAAGGTGATAACTTTTCAGCCATTTTGCTTTTTTGATCAGTACAAAATTCAAACGGCCTAACTACGAACCAAAGGGAAAGATATAAGTAAGAGAAATATTCCTGCATTACTTCAAAAAATCATAGCAACATCATTTAGACAAGATCATAAAATATAACAACACAGTGTCTGCGAGGAATAAATAATATTTCCTACGAGCAACATACTTTAATATTTCACCTGTGTGCTACGCAAATCATACTGAAGACTGGAACTTGTTTTAGCTGGATCCAAACAGCTGTCCATTTGTGTAACTGGTGTACTGATGACCATGATGAAGGGATAAAAAAAATAATAATTTGATCACAGGTCAATGTGTTGTCCATTGTCTACCCGAGAAAGATTGCAGAAGCAATGTATCCAACAACAGCACCCTACATGTAATTCATAGGCTATGTGTATGACAATGAGCAACCAGAAAAACTGACTTTAATTGATTATCTTCTAACTTTTAGCCTCAAAATAAAGTAGTTTTCAAAGGCTATTTAAAGGTACTTGAACATGTGTTTTCCTGTCTTATATTATAGCCACAGGTAATAAGGTTATATGGTTTGGAACACTAATTTAAAACATGTCAAAATGTTACTTTTCTGGGTAATGTGTTTTAGTTTTCTATAATATTTTATGGCACTCCTCTTGAAATTTTAATTTTTGCTTGCTAAGGCTTACAAAAAAATAAAAAATCATTTTATTCACATTTCATAAAAACTCATATGAAATAACCTCATTTAAGATATTGTATATACAGGTAGGTTTTAACTATTTCGTTTTTAAGATGTGTGATATATTATTATCTATTCACCATTACTTGTATCTTTAAATTTACTGAAGTTACAAAGTTTTAACAAAATATAAATCATACTCAATACATTTATGTGTTCTGTTTTTATAATCAGATTATAGTCAATATTGAAAAACAGCAAACAATTTTGACAGCTGATTGCTGAAAAACTCAACAGCTAAATGTAATGCGCTTCATAAGTAGCATCATTGAGATCACTGTAAGTTTGATAATTGTAATGCAAATATATTTTGTGATATTAACTTTTTGTAGTCTTACTATCTGCAAGAATTAGAATTAAGATTATAGTTATTAACAAAATATTTAACAATATATGTTTCAGATATGCATGAATACCTATTTATAACCTTATATAGATTTACACTGCCATTACTTATTGATCTCGTCTTGAGAATACACATATAAATAAAAAAAATATGCATAACTGTTGCTTGAATAACTATATATTTACCTTTGATATGATCAAAAGCATTAGAGACTACATTAATTTTTGCATAATTACAATGATCTGATCACAGCAGCTGCACTGTACAGTAAGCAGTACACTAAAACAAGAGGCTCATGGGGCCTGTATCACTCACCTGGATCTTAAAGCCCAGTAATGGTACACAAGCCTTAAGGTTGGGTATTTCAAATATTTCCAAATTAAAACTCAAGTCACTTAAGCCCTTGCATGGTGAAAGACCGATGAGTAAATTCTTATATCATTACTGTCTTTCTCTTTTGATGTCAAGTAAGAGTTTATATGGTTATTGGGTTGATATCTCAGCTTTGTCAAAAACATGACCCAGAAATAATGTCCCTATAAGTGTCCCATAATCAAGAGTCCATTCTTACATTACAAATGTGTTGATATCTTGATATCAATTAATTCTATATATATGAAATATTATGAGGGGGGATTTTCACCGTTTTAAAGGTATAACCTGAAAATTAAGTTCTGAGGGGCCAGTTATTCATCATAAATGTGTTTATCTCTTAATGTTCAGGATATGGTTAAGGAGTAGGGATCTCAATTGCTTCAAAGATATTACCAAGAAAGTGAGATCCTAGGAGTGAGGCCAGACCCCAGGGTCAATTCATACATCATGATTGTTTTATCTCTTCATGCGCAGCATGTTATCTTTAGTTATGTGATGAGGATCTCAACTGTTTCAAAGAAATAACCAAGAAACTGTCTCAAGGGGTGCAGCCAGGTCCAAGGACCAATTTTAAATTACCTGCTGAATCGAAACAAAGGAACTCGAGCAATAATAAGATAGCCCTCTGACAGCCATTTTGTATAACTGATGAGATAAAATAAATGAGTTATGATGTATTATATAAATCTTCAATGAAATGAAAGCAAATTAAGTTTTTGTTTATCATATCATTAACTTGCTTATTTTGCGAGTATAAGTGAAAATATCACAATAAAATATTTTTTGCTCTTTTGCCAATATTCTGTTTTAATTGACAGAAAAAAACTTTTCAGAATAACATACTGGTATGTACCTGGAGAGAATTCAGTAAGGTGAAAATCAGGATCTGAAATGTGTATTTAGATGGTTAAGTAGATTCTATGTTTCCTAATGACAGATTATATACTTGGTTAGAAATTAAGCTCAAATTCCGGAGTTAAACAATTAATTCTAAACATGGCACAAGTTATCAACTAAAGTCCAGTTGACAGCAGTAAACTGCAGGTGAAAAAAATTTAAATGTGTTGGAATGGCCATACAAAGATGAAAAACTTTCCAAATTTGGTTTATGATGACAACTTATAAAGTTTGAAGCTAAGCAGAAATTTAACATGCTGCAATTAATCAATAAATTCAAGTTAACTGTATTTAAACTGTATGTAAATCTGTTTGGGTGGTTATATATAGATATTCTATGCTTTTTGTATTTGATGAGAAATGAACCTCGGTGTGGAGCTAAAGACAAAACTTTAACAAGGTGTGGAGCGTTACACATCTTTTCATTGTATGATTTAGATGTGTGAAAACTGCTTCTGGCTTTTAACTAAAAGGTATAGAAATTATTTTATGTATCCAAATATCCACTAAAAATATTTCATTTAAACTAAATTTAGAAACATATTGGTCATGTCAACAACAATTCAATAGTTGTTTTCCTATATGCCTCTACTATCTACAGGATTTCATGTGCGCGAGACAGCCATGAAATCGTATATGCAGTTAACTATACAATCACTTCTCCCAAAGAATTTGGATACTGTGGTGCCACAGATCAACTCATCCTTATGATTCAATCGCCTTATATGCGAGGATCCTACAACTGCTATCCTAACCATATTTTCAGAACAAAATCTGCTTTTGAATTGGCTTTACAAACGAGAAATATAATTTTTACGTACACATATACTTGAGGAATGGCGGGAAAGGAAGTTTCAAGACTTTTTATGTAATACGTCTTCATTTTTCCTTAAAAAACTTATCATGATGTATAACATATTATGGTATTAATGCATCAAAATGAATAAAACGGCACTATTCTACCCCGATTTTGCCCGATCCTGTAAATCGTCTTTCGGTCTTGCGCGGCATAGTACGTTCTGCGAGAAAAATACATTTTCGCCAATTTTTGGTCAAGTTGAAATATATTTGAATAATGATCAGTTAAAAACAAAATATTTACACTAAGAACAATTTAATGCCCAAATTATACATACAAACCGCCCGATTCTGCCCGATCCTGTAAATCGTCTTTCGGTCTTGCGCGACCAAAACAGATATGAGTGTTTTATGTAATACGTCTTCATTTTTCCATAAAAACTATTCATCATGTGTAACATATGATAATACCAATACAAAAGAAATTCATACAAAGAAATCATTGAAACGGCACTGTTCTATTCCGATCCTGTCCGATTCTGCCCGATTCTGTAAATCGTCTAACCGCTTATTCACAGCTTCGAAATTGCACATGAGGTTCGTATATAAGATTAGCTAAAATCGCATAAACTAGATATTAAACCTTAATCATTTTGTAATAGTATATTGACATGATCGTACGCAACTGACATACATCACGTCGAGTTACTGGCTTCGGTGAGTGTAAGGATAGGAATGAGTACTCACTCAAGCTTCTCTAGAAACGGTGTTCAGCTTCTAATCGGCTGGGTTACATTCTTTTTTTATTTGTTATTGTTAATGACAATTATGTTGCATTTGTGTTGAACGTTCATTTCTAATGAATAAATGAAAGCAAAATCATAGTATTTTATTAAGAAGCATATCACACAACAAAAACGTCACTTGTACAGTAGGCATTTTAAATAATAATAATAATATACAATGTACTTGACGCGACGATTTACCCAAATACACCCAAATCTTTCACACATATACCCAAATTAAGCCAAATCTTACCCAAATATACTCAAATAAAGCCTAATCGTACCAAAATATACCCAAATCTACACCAAATATTATCAAATCTACCGAATACCGTAGTTATCTCGGTTACAATTGTCATCACGGGAGAGAAAACGGCCCGACGATTTACAGGAACGGGCTCTGTATTATCAGGGACGTATATCTTGTTATATATTTTATCACTAATAAACGACACACACATGATCGAATAGATTATCTTTGTCTAATTTTAGCTTCCATTTTACTAAGGCAATTCATATAAATTCTGTAATACCATTTAGGCTAATGGGCAAAAATGGACAAAAATGAAGCGGGAACGTTCAGAAACGGACGCTCCATTATAAACTGTAAAATACACTTCTACAATTTGTTATAGAATTACGGTATGTAAATTGTTGATATATAACATGAAATTATATTGGTTATATGCATCTTTCGTTTTAATCAAATGACTAGCGCAAATCCTTTAATGTGTTAAATTATTTACTATATCAATTTACATACATTTTTTTCTAAAGCAGCATCCTGGTCCCATTTGCACGAAATTTCTCAAAATTCTGAATTCTCAGACAAAGTACGCATGGCATATTCTCAAAGTTCCCCACATAGATCGTGAAAGTTGATTGTGGCAAATGTGGAAATAATCATTATATAAATATAATTACAAAAAAACGTTTGATATATAAACAATAAAGTTGAACAATATGAAATTCATATAAAAAAATGAAATACATCACATGAAAACAATTTTTGTATAAAAAAGATACGTTCATATAAAATAAACCATATAATTATCAAAATCTGTTTTAATCATCAACATCTTAATGCGATACTATCACCACAGTACTAGCGCAACATTACACTTTATACAGGTATGGCCATTTCCACTAGGGCTGTTATTGCAGTGAGGCCGTTTTGACCATATACCAAATAAATCATGAAATATCTTAATTGCGGCATAATTAAGAATCTCATGGGGAATGAAGCATCCATGGTAATGAACATTAAATTGTCCAGAAAAATGGTCGGTCGATTTGGATAAGCTTAGGATTTCACTTTTCAAGGGAGATAATCGCAATTGAGAAACGTTATTGTCCTGAAAAATGATAACCGGGAGATTAAATTGTTAATATTGATGGTAATTGTGTAAGATTTTTGTATATTTGGGTAGATTTTGGGTATACTAGGGTATCTTTGGTTATGATTTGGCTTTATTTGGGTAAATCGTCGCACGGGGCTTATTAAGCCTATATATCCAGATCAGAGTTTAAAAGAATTAGTATCCCGAATATGGATCAGTGTGTTATTGTCTAGTTCATGATTATGAACACATTCAGCTTGCCTCCAATGATTATCCAGTCGGTATTCGAAAGTTTTGATTGTTGGTGACGTTACAATTACTATCAAACTACATGCATGTAACTAAAGTAAATATATTGCAATACGTACTACAGTATCTTGTTGGATATTGCAATACTTTGCAATACAGTTTTGTCCAGCACTAGTGACTATGCATGCCTCTCGAGTAATCTCGTAGGCGCATGCGCAGCCACATTTCCTCACGTACCACAACCCCTCATCCCATCACTTACAGCGAGGGCACAGGAGAAGTCATACAGCTCCCACTGAGATCCGGTAAGAGGGACTGACCAGTGTGATAGTAGTTGTAAATGGTTAAATCTTTTTATGTGATTCCATTTCCATTCCATTTGAATGTTTATGTGATAATATTTATCACATTATCTATATCTGTCTCATACAGTGTTTATATTGTAGGCTTCATGTGAAATATACCACTAAAGAACCTTAAAGGAAAGTGTCCGTCGATTTATTTAACTGAGAGGACGTTACATTTGTATATCTGCTTGCTTCTGATAACTGTTATGCTGTCAAGTTCGATATAGTGCCGGACGTTTTTGCCAGGGTGAACTGCAAGAGAATCTTCCACAGAACAGGACATGGCAGGCACAACGAATGCAGATGCGATTTTCCATATACCATTTGTGTATGTAGCCAAAAGTGCTGTGCTTTTACCATTGTGTGGATTTCTCTTCTGTGTGACATGGTCCATTTTGTATGATTTTGAATCATCAACTGCCACTCACTGCAAGGTAACTGAAAACCTATGAAGTGTAATAATTGGTCATTCTTCTTTTTGATGTAGATTTCTCCATTCCCTTATTGTAACATTCAAGTAACTTGGTGGAAGTTAAAAATATATTAGTTTACTGATTTTTAGCTCACAAGGTCCGGAAAATCAGTAACTTTATGCCATGGCACGGTGTCATTACCTTTTTAATAAGATTTGCTTGTATAAATGTTGGTTCTCGGCCCACAGGGGCCTTAGGGGCAGGGTCCAAATGAGGACACACAAGTGCTTCAGCCACACCTACACACACCACTAATCTCTCTCTGAGTGCATTGCGGTACCCCAATAACACCTCTGTAAACGGCTTACACCATTTCAAGATTCTTGAAAAATATATTTGTGTCCAATAACAAAGGATTTCATCATTTTTCTGGTTTGTTATAGGCATTATGTTTTTGAAAATAAATGTTTGTTCATATGGAAAATGATTACATTCATTTATATGGTTATAAACATTTTAGATTATATTGTGGAAGATTAGATTTGAGTAAATAGTCACCGACCTTCATGTTTACATTTTGTACTTTCACTTTCAACTACAGATGTGTTCTTGAGAGACATGGTGATATACTGTAATATCATTAATAACTGATTGTAATTTGGCTACAACAACAGTGACATAACATTTCAGATATCCCAAAGGATTTTTACGCTGATCGATAGCATACAAAGCAGTCTACAGCTGTGTCCTTCTTTGGTGCTTTCAGGGATGCCGCCATAGTTTTGCACATCAAACTTTGACCCTGACCGCAAGGTCAACTATTGGTAGTCCTTGAGTCATTTACAGAGGTGTATTGTATCTGATAAGGAACAGCAACTCTGTTAGAAAAGAAAGGTAGCCAACAAAGTTTTGTTATTTTTCGGCCCTGTCAAAACTTCAAAAACTTCAGCACAGCAGGCAGGGAGGCCATTTTGTAACATGATTGCACAATCATGGTTTTCCTATGCGACACTTATTTCAACTTTTTCTCAAGTTTCACCTGTTGGATTGAGCTCCAACTTTATAGTAAAAAAATAGGTAACACTTGTTACTGTTACCTACTCACCAAAACTACCATCTGCATCATGGAACACAGCTTCTTAGTAAGATTTCATTCACAGTAGAAAAAATAACCCTCTTCCCTGCTGAAAGTTGTTGAAGTCCCATGACCCTTAAGGCCCATGGGCCGCTTGTTTCACAAGTATCAAAATGAGTACTAAAACAACTTCCTTAAGTACCGAAACGACCGAGTACCGGAACAAAGGGGTAGCGAAACAACTAGAATTTTTCTATTATACCTCTCTTAATGAGTGCTACTCAACAATTAGCCATTGTTGAGCATAAAAGTAAGATCTGTAACATTCATCAGGTATTGTCCTTTCCCACTTTATTTAAGAACATTGAGCAGCTATTATTAATTGATTGTTGTATTCTGTATGAAATTACTGAATTGGTGATATGGCTACCAATATTCTTGTACACGTATCAGTGATAACTAACATCTGTATCATCCACACTTTATTTAAGAAAATTTAGCGATCTGAGAATCATTATTAAGTGGCCATTCAGTTTCCTGTCACACTGATCTTGATTTTGGACTCAGTTGGAGGCAAACGTGAGACATGCCAAAGTGCATTAAATTTGATTGAATTTCTTTATTTGTTCCCCAAGAAATTTTATTTATTGATCAATTGCCATGAAAGTTGGTTTTCAACTTTATGTTTGATAAACAACACTATTTACAGAAACAAATTATTTTAAAACAACACTTGTAAGGCCTAGAACCACTTTTTTACTTCCAAGCTGTGGTATGATTATAAGTATGTAGTGCAATATGGACTTTACAAACAATACAAGTGTGCCAAAACTAGTCAACTAATAAAGTTACAGAAGATCTTCATTGGCGTTGTCTGGTCCTGCTTACCGATTTTTTAACCTATCCTTTGGTACCGGACTCGGTATTCCCTCAGGGAATTCGCTTTGGAGTGATACCGGACTTACCAGCCGTACCTCTTGGACGTTGGATCTCTTTTTCTTCGTAAAACAATACATTTATTTACTTTATTAGTCGCACATACATGTCGTATAGCCACCAGATCATGTCTTATATATTCTGGAGCTGTCTGTGATTACAACACATTTATTGTTTTTTTCTCTATTTTTCAGGTAGCAAATTATCTCCCCTCTATATCATCAGCTATAGGAGGTTACACCCCCCAGAAGTATGTTTGGAGGATATGTGTGGCACTTCATTGTTCCCCTCGTCTGATGTTTGCTATTGCTTACTACAATTTCCATACCAGAATTCATGTAGGAAGAAAGAATATAATTTATACCAATCTGGCAGCCATTGCTAGCTCCCTCCATATTACAGAAATCCTGGCATTAGTTGGATTAACCTACATATCATCTACAGACAATGGCGGTATGTATAGAGCATGTCTTTATAACATAATGTGGATCATATATGATGGACAGAGATTTGTCAGGTTTCAAAGCTACTGAATGTGATTGAGACATTTTTACATTAGAATTTTTACTTCAGAGTAATGAAAGGGAATACAAAGTATTTTACTTTTGTTAAATGATAGAAGATACAGAAGCAATGCATCCAACAACAGCATACTACATGTAATTCATAGGCTATGTGTATGACAATGAGCAACCAGAAAAACTGACTTTAATTGATTATCTTCTAACTTTTAGCCTCAAAATAAAGTAGTTTTCAAAGGCTATTTAAAGGTACTTGAACATGTGTTTTCCTGTCTTATATTATAGCCACAGGTAATAAGGTTATATGGTTTGGAATACTAATTTAAAACATGTCAAAATGTTACTTTTCTGGGTAATGTGTTTTAGTTTTCTTTAATATTTTATGGCACTCCTCTTGAAATTTTAATTTTTGCTTGCTAAGGCTTACAAAAAAATAAAAAATCATTTTATTCACATTTCATAAAAACTCATATGAAATAGCCTCATTTAAGACCTTGTATATACAGGTAGGTTTTAACTATTTCGTTTTTAAGATGTGTGATATATTATTATCTATTCACCATTACTTGTATCTTTAAATTTACTGAAGTTACAAAGTTTTAACAAAATATAAATCATACTCAATACATTTATGTGTTCTGTTTTTATAATCAGATTATAGTCAATATTGAAGATCAGCAAACAATTTTGACAGCTGATTGCCGAAAAACTCAACAGCTAAATGTAATGCGCTTCATAAGTAGCATCATTGAGATCACTGTAAGTTTGATAATTGTAATGCAAATATATTTTGTGATATTAACTTTTTGTAGTCTTACTATCTGCAAGAATTAAGATTATAGTTATTAACAAAATATTTAACAATATATGTTTCAGATATGCACGAATACCTATTTATAGCCTTTATGGTGTGTTCACTGTCTCACATGCTGTTGTCTTGTATGCTGTTCCATTGGGGTCGCTCAGCCAATAACAGGGCAATGACTAATATGGTAGGCACTAAAACAGATATATCATTTAATATTAATTGCACTAATTGTGTCTCACCTTAACTTCTACACATCATGAGTCCGTCGTTTTGATTCTGTTGCCACTGTTTGGTGTTTGTTGCCAAGTGAAATGTCTGTTCATTTAAATCTTTGTTTACTTATTGTTTGTCATCCATTTACATGTTCAGTATATGGAGATTTAGTCACTTAACCACTGGAAACTCTTCAGACGTTGCATTACTGGACTAGTTTGAGAAAAGACTGTCAAATCTTCAGAGAAAATTACATTCTAGTGGCTATAACATGCTTTTTAATAAACAGAGGAATTCAGATACATACCTGGTTAGTCTTTTTGCAAAGTTACCAAATACTTTTCACTAAAGCTAGTGTTTTATGTAATTTTTGAAAAAAAGGTAACTCAAGTGAAAGAAATACTATGGACAACAACCACTTGTTTTGTAACTTCTATGTATTAGATTAATGTAGTAAACACTGACCATTGTTAAACCAAGAAAGACAATTTTTGATTCATACCTTGTCCTGGCCTCAAACCTATGGCACCTTAAATTATCTCCAAGCCCATAATTGCTATAGCTACTTAACCAGCACATTCATGATATTGGAGTTTGAGGCTGGGATGTGGCATGAATAAAAAAATTGATGATTATGCTACAATGTCCAAATCATAAATTAGCACCATGTATCATATACAGTAATGTAGTAGATTCACAGACTCCAGATTTGAATTGCCTGTCGTAATTGTATCTGAGTTTGGTATATGTAAATATATCTAATGAAATATATTTGGTAACAAGAACTAGTAATTATTTTTGGTAATGTTTATACATGAAGTGCGAACCTAAATTTTCATTCATTTAAATGTACTGAATATTTGAAATTGGGTGATGTGATATAAAACTTTTTATTTTTGACAGGAAAGGCAATCATTCCACTACAAGGTCGGACTTTTTCTCTTCAATCTTACATCATTCCTATTTGCTGTGTATCTGTATTTCAGACATCAAGCTTATTGTGAATCAGGCAGTAAGTGTTGTTCATGGATTTGTGAATTTTAAATGTTAAACATAACCTTAGTATAACTTTTCACTTGTTCATTATTTCTCCTACCATTCACGGTTATGTTTTTTTTAACCACAGAGGTATTGTACATACATGCTGATCCTGGAAGTCACATAATTGTAGATAAATAACAGTGTGTTATCACTACTTTTTCAGAAGTTCTGGAGGAATCATCTCAAATTTCATTGGTACCTTAACATTTCCTTTTGTCCCTAGCATTACATATTTGAATATGGGTCTAATTAAAAAGAAGATAAAAAACAGAATAGATTCCACTTTATGATTAACTAATGCATATCATACAATGGTTGAGACAACCATTCCTCTGGAATCTCCTGTCAATGTGCCTGTCCTGTTTTAGAGTAAAATGTGAACAGAGCAGAACATGTTATATATTAAGAGATACTTGCACTGTACCATGTTACATCAATAGCAGGAGGTATGGTGACATAAAGCTTGTCTGTTGTTAAAGACATTAAGTCAGTTCAGGAGGTAATGCTTCACTTGGTAACATTCCAAATTTACCTGACAGAAAATAGTGCTAATAAATTGCCAACATAAACATACACAACAAGATCACTATAATTAATTCTTGGATGATAAATAGTGTGTGATGCTTACCATAAAAGTGTGTGATGCTTACCATAAAAGTGTGTGATGCTTACCATAAAAGTGTGTGATGATTACCATAATAGTGTGTGATGATTACCATAATAGTGTGTGATGATTACCATAATAGTGTTTGATGCTTACCATAATAGTGTGTGATGATTACCATAATAGTGTGTGATGATTACCATAATAGTGTGTGATGATTACCATAATAGTGTGTGATGATGTGTGTGCTTACCATAATAGTGTGTGATGATTACCATAATAGTGTGTGATGATGATTACCATAATAGTGTGTGATGCTTACCATAATAGTGTGTGATGATTACCATAATAGTGTGTGATGATGATTACCATAATAGTGTGTGATGATTGCCATAATAGTGTGTGATGATTACCATAATAGTGTGTGATGATGATTACCATAATAGTGTGTGATGATTACCATAATAGTGTGTGATGCTTACCATAAAAGTGTGTGATGCTTACCATAAAAGTGTGTGATGATTACCATAATAGTGTGTGATGATTACCATAATAGTGTGTGATGATTACCATAATAGTGTGTGATGATGATTACCATAATAGTGTGTGATGATTGCCATAATAGTGTGTGATGTGTGTGTGATGATTACCCATAAAAGTGTGTGATGATTACCATAATAGTGTGTGTGATGTGTGTGATGATTACCATAATACCATAATAGTGTGTGATGATTACCATAATAGTGTGTGATGATGATTACCATAATAGTGTGTGATGATGATTACCATAATAGTGTGTGATGATTACCATAATAGTGTGTGATGATTACCATAATGTGTGTGTGTGTGTGTGATGATTACCATAATAGTGTGTGATGATGATTACCATAATAGTGTGTGATGATTACCATAATAGTGTGTGATGATTACCATAATAGTGTGTGATGATTACCATAATAGTGTGTGATGATTACCATAATAGTGTGTGATGATTGCCATAACCATAATAGTGTGTGATGATGAGATTACCATAAAAGTGTGTGATGATTACCATAATAGTGTGTGATGATTACCATAAAAGTGTGTGATGATTACCATAATAGTGTGTGATGATTACCATAATAGTGTGTGATGATTACCATAATAGTGTGTGATGATTACCATAATAGTGTGTGATGATTACCATAATAGTGTGTGATGATTACCATAATAGTGTGTGTGATGATTACCATAATAGTGTGTGATGATTACCATAATAGTGTGTGATGATTACCATAATAGTGTGTGATGATTACCATAATAGTGTGTGATGATGATGATTACCATAATAGTGTGTGATGATTACCATAAATGTGTGTGATGATGATTACCATAATAGTGTGTGATGATTACCATAATAGTGTGTGATGATTACCATAATAGTGTGTGATGATTACCATAATAGTGTGTGATGATTACCATAATAGTGTGTGATGATTACCATAATAGTGTGTGATGATTACCATAATAGTGTGTGATGATTGCCATAATAGTGTGTGATGATTACCATAAAAGTGTGTGATAATTGCCATAATAGTGTGTGATGATTACCATAAAAGTGTGTGATGATTACCATAATAGTGTGTGATGATTACCATAAAAGTGTGTGATGATTACCATAATAGTGTGTGATGATGATTACCATAAAAGTGTGTGATGATTACCATAATAGTGTGTGATGATTACCATAATAGTGTGTGATGATTACCATAATAGTGTGTGATGATGATTACCATAATAGTGTGTGATGATTACCATAATAGTGTGTGATGATTACCATAAATGTGTGTGATGATGATTACCATAATAGTGTGTGATGATTACCATAATAGTGTGTGATGATTACCATTATATTGTGTGATGATTACCATAATAGTGTGTGATGATAACCATTATATTGTGTGATGATTGCCATAATATTGTGTGATGAATACCATTATATTGTGTGATGAATACCATAATAGTGTGTGATGATTATCATATTAGTGTGTGATGAATACCATAATAGTGTGTGATGATTACCATAATAGTGTGTGATGATTACCATAATAGTGTGTGATGATTACCATAATAGTGTGTGATGATTACCATATTAGTGTGTGATGAATACCATTATATTGTGTGATGAATACCATAATAGTGTGTGATGAATACCATTATATTGTGTGATGAATACCATAATAGTGTGTGATGATTTCTACCTCAGTGTACACCTGGTTTGCCCTGGCAGAGTATCTTACAGTCATTTCCAACATTGCCTATAATGGGACAGTTATATTGGATTTTAATGAGCTTGAGGTGTCTGTAAGCAGTAGTAACGGAACTTCCCATATACACAAATCTACATAGTTATACTGGTAAGTAATCACCATAGTTATACTGGTAAGTATTCCTGTGATACTTCACACAAATCTACATAGTTATATACTGGTAAGTATTCCTGTGATACTTCACACAAATCTACATAGTTATACTGGTAAGTAATCACCATAGTTATACTGGTAAGTATTCCTGTGATACTTCACACAAATCTACATAGTTATACTGGTAAGTAATCACCATAGTTATACTGGTTAGTATTCCTGTGATACTTCACACAAATCTACATAGTTATATACTGGTAAGTAATCACCATAGTTATACTGGTAAGTATTCCTGTGATACTTCACACAAATCTACATAGTTATACTGGTAAGTAATCACCATAGTTATACTGGTAAGTATTCCTGTGATACTTCACACAAATCTACATAGTTATACTGGTAAGTAATCACCATAGTTATACTGGTAAGTATTCCTGTGATACTTCACACAAATCTACATAGTTATACTGGTATAGTTATACTGGTAAGTATTCCTGTGATCACACAAATCTACATAGTTATACTGGTTAGTATTCCTATGATACAATTCTATATAGGTAGTAGAGCCAACACCATGTACTGGTAAATGGTGACCAGATGAGCCCTAGGCCTCCTGCCTGGATACCTGAGTGCATACAGGGGATCAATGTGATAGGGTGAGTAAAAATCTGGAGAATCAATCACAACAGGCTGGAGGTAGTTTCTAGTAATTTTTAGGTATCCTGGTTTTGTCCTAAAACTTCATCAGAACACCGTGTCATGAAATTTCTTCCCTGAGGTACTAAAATTGTGAGCAGCTTTATTTTATACATTGTGACATGACAATTAAACAATACATTCTATGTAAACAAAATGTCCATTGTTCTGTTATCTTCTTCTTGTCTTTTCTTTAGTTGTCTCAAGATTTCTCAGACGAAGCTGTGATGAAGTCCATAAGTCTAAAAAGAACACTCTGCCCTCTATGAACATTCACTAGATATGTCTGCCTTCTTCGAACATTCACTTCACTGGATACATCGGCTTTCTACCAAAAATTCACTGGATACACCTGCCCTATACCAACATTCACTGGATATGTCTACCCTATACCAACATTCACTGGATAGGTCTACCCTATACCAACGTTCACTGGATAGGTCTGCACTCTACGAACATTCACTGGATAGGTCTGCACTCTACGAACATTCACTGGATAGGTCTGCACTCTACGAACATTCACGGGATACATCTGCTCTTTACAAACATTCATACCTTACTGTATATTTATTATTTGGATTTTCTGAAAGAGTTTACAATTTCACTCAGGCACATTGTTTTGATATGATATGTTTTTCCCTTTATTGATTTTAGGTCACCTGAGACAAAGTTTCACGGTGACATATTACAATTCCCATTTGCCATGTGTCGTAAACTTTTTAGCATTTTCAACTTCTTCTGGAAAACTCCAGAACCAATTTCAATAAAATTTTATAAAAAAACGTATGAATAAAGGGAACCAAGGGGGTTGAGGGGCAGGGCCGAAAAGGGTCAAATTGATTGAAACTTAAAAAATCTTCTTCTAAAATCCCAGGTGTGGTAGAATCAAATAATCTTAATGGGTTGAAATGCCTTGAGACACTTTACTAAAATTGTATGCATTTTCTCACGGGGATGAGGTTAAGTTTACTATAGTTAATACAGGAAGATCACATTTTTAAACGTTATTTGTTTATTTTTCTATTGGAAGTAGTTCAAACCTGGTTAGAATTTTTAGTTTAAGATGACAGCTTAATGAGATGCACATATTGACCTCGATTGACTCTAGGGGCTGTTGGGCTGGCCCAAAAATGGGTCAATGGGTGAAATTTCATAAATCTTCCTCTCAATGCCAAAATAATGTAGAACCAAATACTCTACAAGGATGGAAGTTTCTTGACTGAAATTTCAAAGATGTTCTATTGTTCGTGGATGGGAAATTTTATAAAGGAAAATTAAAAAATTGCTAACTTGGTTAGAAGCCATAGCTTGGGACAGTAGTTAATGTATACACAATTTTTCATTTGCTTATGTGTACACTATAGTTAAAGTTTTATTACTTTGTTTAACAAAATCATATCTATGACATGTTACAAGAAGCATTGTAACTTGGGTGACCGTTAAGGCCCTTGGGCTTCTTGTTTATGACGTCATTGTTGTTTACTTTACATTATACAATCTTGATTTCTTAATTTAACATTTGATATTTATAACCTTGGAGCATGTTTATAGGTCTTGTTTACCTTACAATGTGAGGAATATTTTTGATATCATTTGGTGATACTTACATACACTGTCATTCTGTTTGTGCTATTTTCTCTCAGTTATCTACATTTTTTAGTTTTTGATAAGGTCCTTTTTGGACATGCATAATGAATATAAGGTCAAAATTTAGATATGGTTGCTATATTTGTAAAATATACATATATTATTGATAATTTTAGCTGTATGTTATGAAGAAAGGCATTATTAATGCTGATGTTTTTGTCCAGTGTCAGCGTCCACTTTTGTTTTAGGTAGTTGTTTGATGTGAGTGTTTAATTACTTTAATTAATTGTGTTGTATTTGAAATGCAACAACATGAAGGATATAAAAATTTGTTTAGCCTCCATGCATGCCTCCTTTATGCAACTGAAGGGAACAATTTTTGTGAAAAATTCCATGTTTTGAAGATATACTACTTTTGCATAAATAAGTTTTGCTGGAAATGGGGATGGGGTCCAATAGGGGAAATAGAGCAAATTCTTTGAAATCCTACTCCTCCAATAGGAGAAATTGAATTTCGCCCAAATTTTGCATGCAGCATTCTTAAGCAAAAGGTAATCAATTCTGTAGGAAGATCTCATCTCCATGGTGCAAGAGGGGGCGGAGCCAATATTGGAAATAGAGCAAATTTTTTAAAATCCTGGTTCTCTTGTAGGAAGTATTAATGGTTTGGTTAACCCCTTAAGGACAGAGGGTAGGGGTTCAATAGAAAAATAGATATGTTTTGTGTTGTGTAGTTTGATATTTAGAATTCCCTTTCCTTTAGATTTAGTAAAGCAATTTCAACCAAGCAAAGTCAGTTGAGCATTTTGATAGGTTTTGTACCTTATACTTTGTTTCCTTGTGTGTATTCAGTTTTAGCGCCATTCAATTTCTTTCATTTTCAGAAAGGAAGTCAACTTTTGGTTTAGTTGGTGAATAGCTATACTCATGTTTTTTTATATGAAGTTCAAACTGAGACTTCAAAATTTTCAGGATTGGTGCTATATAATTTCTTTCATATTCAAATAAAAAGTATGTGTTTGGTTTACTTTATAAATAACTTTGTATATCCATGTGTTAGCTCACTAGACAGAAAGGAGAAGTGAGCAATAGGGAGGATACTGTGGCATCTGTTGTCTGACAACTTTTCCTAATAATCACTACTAATTATGAAAGACTTAACAGAGTGTAACCAAATTAGGTCAGAAGCATCCTTTGGGGAAAGGAAACCAATGGTTGGCGGGGCCAAATAGGGAAGATTTACCAATATCTATAAAATTTATCTTGTTCTTCAGGAGTTACAGGATATTGTCCAAATTTTGACTGAAGGATGCTTGGATGAAAGGAAATCAGTTTTTTATAATTAGTGGGTCTAGGCTTCCCCATACTCAATACTCCAGAGGTTATGCTCTCTATCGCTTTCTGCACCCTTGAAGCATGTCATGGCAAAATTGAAGGTTCCATGCGAGATACCTTGTGAACAAGACTATTGTGATTCTTTGATGTACATCAAATCAATCTCGAGGTGGTATAACAATATGTTGTAATGGCTTTGCAGTTTCTTCTTTGTTATCTTCAAGGAGTTTATCAGCCGGTGATTGGTCAGTTTATAGTCAATTTCTCTTGAAAAATACTTACCCTTTAACCTTTGTAATCAATATTACTTATCTCAGGTGACTGTCAATGCTGCTAAGGCCTCTTGTTTTCTCTCTTGGAACCCTCTCTAGACCAACTAAATAACTTCACTTGTGCCTTCAATTTTGCCATGACGTGTTCCAAGGGTGCAGAGAGATATAGTCAGCATTAACCCTGGACTCCCTGGGGCCAGAGGAGCAGATTTCGTTGTTTAAATTTGTTGAATTTGGAAACAGATGTAAATCTTTAAAATGCTTTACCCTTAGTTTAGATGAAGCAGTTTCAATGAACTAAACTTGGTCAGTGATACAAAACTTACTTTTGGCCTCCTATTTTTTGCACAGAGTCTGTCTTTATTACCAGTGCTATCATTATGCTTCTCCAGCAGTTGAACTGTACATTCCCATCTTAACACAATTTTCAATTAAAATTTCATGATGAATTTACTATGCACATTGTACATTGTAAGGTGATATGAAGAGTCATTATAACATGATGATTTATAACAGTTATGTCAAATTATATTTTATATACATTGGTTATTTCTCTTCAGCATACTCTCTAATTGTGAGGATGTTAATTGAGTGAACATTGTGTATATGCCTATGTAATATCAAGTTACCATACAGATTGTGATGTTGGCGGCAAGGTGATACAGTGGTAACACACTGGCTTTTACCTAGTGGACATGAAAAGGTATGGGATTACCTGCCCGACCATGTGGGTTTTCCTGGTCCTCTGGTTTCCTCCCATTAATATTCTCAAGATAGATAATGCCTATTGTTCCATCATCTTGAATTGAGCCAAATTTGGTATAAAATTTGCTATCAGAATTCAACAAAATTTGGTAATTTGGTTCATATTAGTCAAATTTCAGATGAGTTTGGTATAGGTCAAAATCCATTAACATTCGCTTGATATAATTAAAATATAGGAAAGAAAACAAACAGGTTAAGACACTTGTGGACGCCAAGAACTCTCTAGTATCACTTGTTTACCACTCAGGATTTCTTCTTGACTTAAACATCTCGAGAATGGCGGAGCAGTCAATCTCATCTCGACTTATTTTGAATTGCTGAAGCATTCCATGGCCTGATTGTTTAAGCAATTAGAAGTTTTAACTTACTAGGCCTCCTTAGGAGACAACTTTGCAGTGAACTTCACATGTATATAGTTTATAACTTGACTGAGTAGCATTTTATTCCTATATTCCTCTGAATGTAATAGATAGATGAACTGTTTTCCTTGCTTAAGTTGTAGGTAAAATTGTATATTGAAAGTTGTATGAAGACTAGTCATAACATTGTATTATTACAGTCATATGAGGACTCTTAATAACGTATGTTGAAGGTCCCTATATATATAACTTGTCTTAACATTATGTGTTTTAAAGTCATTTTACAAAATACTTTCTTCAGTTTGGTAATGTCAATAGAACAGACGTTCTTATAGTACAACCAGTAGAAGATTGGAATGTGACATTTCGATGACTGCACTGTCACCTTCATCAGACAAATGACCAGTGTGAAACGTATTAGCTCTGACCTACAAAATATTATAGAATCAATACAACTTTTTCAGCTGTTCTATATTATAATTCTATGTACAGTATGGAAGAAAATAGAAAAAACATTCACAAGATGATAACAATGTATTGTGGTCAATTCATCTACGATTTGTTTACCATGTGATCATAGATGTGTGAGAGTCTATGGCCCCTCTTGTCCCTGTTTAGTATTGGCCCACTGGTCCAGATGGCCTCCTTGACCAGCCGCCTGAAAAGGTTATGTTCCCTGTAACATTTAGCTTCTGGTATATTCATATATCCATTTAAGGTCGTCAACAACACACCATATATATATAGGTGGTTATTTTCCTGGGGATGATATATTAGTGATTTCACAGGTCATTTTTATGATTGCAAAAATTTGATCCATGAAATATTTAGAGGTGTGAAATATTATCTGCAATATAAAACTTTTGTTTGAATGAAGTAACCAGCTCCCTTCATAATGATGGTATGATTTGAGAGATTATATGTACACATGTTGATGCAAGTAAGATAAAAAAAAAAAGACCTGTTGGAGCCCAACAACATAATGCTGCCGAACTGTATAGAACATTTTACGTACATAGCTTGTTTATTCACAAAATATGATGTCTAGTTAATGGCGCATAGCAAAATTTTAAGCTGTAAAAAATTTGATTTTCTTGATTTATGTGAAAATTATGAAAATTTATTGACTGCGAAAATAACATACCATATTGTTCTTGGTTAACAATTTACCTACTCTGACGTCTGTATGTTATTGTACTTTGTCCATAACCAGAATAGCCATATATGGTAGCTTTATTCCAGATATTTTCTGAAAGTTGTTTCCATCCACCATTTTGCGGTTAAAATTATGATTTCTAACTTTT